CTTAATTTTTCAAAGACCTTTGTCGTTAAGGGGCAACTCCGCAGCGTGCATATTTAATTTAAAATAATATTTATTTAGTTATCCACAACGCACAGAACCGGCATTGAACCCGACTCACATATTTGTCATTATTATTATAATGAATATTTTCCTTGTTGTACCTACCAAGCAAAAAAATATTCTTACCAATGGAATCTCAAATCGTTGTACACCTACTTAATAATGATATGTTTTAAAAATATAAACATTTATCGGGTAAGCGAACTTAGTTCAAAGATAAAAAAAAAATTAGGAGGATAAAGTAACATAAATATTGACATTAAGATTTGACAGTATCGCGCTTCATTGAAGACTATTATCATAAGATTTTATTTCACAATAAATATCGTTTAGTCTGGTCAAATTAGGTTACTACCTCTTACGCAAATAGGTAAAAACAATTTAAACATCAGGTATTGTATACCTAAAATGAGCACAAGAATATACCTACCTACTCGAGAATCTTCTTCCTTTCTGAAGTTACTTTTAAAGAAAAGTCTAGCCTCAAAACCTCCTCCCATATAATGATCTAATAACTATTTTTGAAAGGGATTTGTAAAAGTGGTCTTGTGGTCCCATTGCTAGCGCTGAACCACGTCAGCTTGACTCCACTCAGTCCTACTTAGAAACCATCATGATTAATTTTTGGAGAATTCGCTACGATGGAATTACTGACCTGCTTTCCTATCTTTTTCCATACCCCTACCACAGTATACCGTTAGCACAGACAGATGCACAGTAATATATATAATTAATAATTATTATAATCTTTGAACAATTCAAACAGCGCCATCTAGACCCAAGTTAAGCTACCTCCAACTTGTATTATGGGTACTAGATATCTGATACAATTATATAGATATATATTATTTGAGTACAAACAACAATTACACATTATACATATATAAAACAGCCAGACCGATACAAACAAACACACTCAAAAATACAAATGTTAGTCCTGTGCGAGAAATCGTACTGGCGACCATCGTAAGTAAGGCGATGTGCTGAATCGCTGGGCCGAGGCCGTCAAACATAATTATCTATAAGTATCTTGCAAAAGTTATGGCGATGACACACAAATAGATACACAGACAAGAATAAATATGTATATGGTTTTGTTTTAGACACTGTGGAATCTAAACCCATATGAAGATATATATATATATATATATATATATATATATATTTAGAAATAAAAGTATAAAAGTCCTACAAATATTCGGTACAGGAAAACTTACTCATAATCTCAGTGGGTCAGGTAGGTTATACGGGTAAAACCTTAGAGGAAAATCAAAACAAAGACCAGACTCGGGTATGAGTATGTATCATCGAAACGGGTTTTCCTTGTTTGTTAATATAGATAATAATTATATCTAACTGGAACATTTTTATTTCAATTAACAGTTTCCAAGAGATATATATAGGGAGGATGTTGGAACGACAGACAGTTGAAGTTGTTGCTTTGAGCATAAAGGACATAAAGTTTAGCATAACAGAAAAAAATATTTCTACTAAAATGGCCAAAAGTTACCAGACTATTTTGCTGTTGGTCTGCCTGTCATGTTTAGTCATTATTTCATCACCGCAAAATGGAGTTCAAGCGGACAAACTTATTGGTAGCTGCGTTTGGGGTGCCACCAATTACACCTCCGACTGCAACGCTGAGTGCAAGCGCCGTGGATACAAAGGTGGCCATTGCGGAAGCTTTTGGAACGTCAATTGTTGGTGCGAAGAATAACACTTGTTACAAAATCCAAATTTTTTGGCACCAATATCGTTACACAATGCCTATCTTGGGACCTGCAAACCTATGACTCCTGGAAATGAAGTAAATGGACATTCAAAATTTATATTCTTTACAAGTAATTCCTTTACATTTACATTGTGAATGTTAAGAATTATCTATAACATTTTTTTTTATTTTACATTATAAAAATGTACGTATTTATAAATAAAAATTATAATAACTAAAATCTGTTTAATTCATTAAATAGTAATTTTATTGAAAGACAAAAATTAAGGTAGACCAACAACATTGTTATTTTCTGGAAACACTGAATTGCATTGCAGTTACAATTAATTATTTTAAATGTTTTGTATTGGAATGTTTTGTTTGGGTTCATTATTTACGAACAGTTGCTCTCGCGGAATGTGTAGATTGGTTGCATACTATATCGCGTAAACTTTTCTATTTTAATCGATTTTATTGACAGTTGTAACGGTAGGTATTACTTAGTCAAAAAATGACAAAGTATATATTTTGTAGTTTGTAGTGTGATAAATAGAACTGCAGATTTAACTAATAGAACAATACGTCAAATCTGCAGTTCTATTGATCACACTACAAACTACAAAACATATTTTGTCACTTTTTGTTAAAATGTAATGGCAGACAAGTTAACGGCACACCTAATGAAAAGTAGTAACTATCAGCTCTATTCCTATAATACATGAAGCACCCCGTACACTGGGGTGAGCATGAAATAAGGTCTGCTAGCCTATCGTGGGTAGTAACCATGATGGTGTCCAGGAGCTGCTTGGAGGTCGGCCTGCTGTGGTACATTATTAGCAGTGATGACTTCTTTCTATCTAAGATTTACTATTTCCGAGAACTAGGAGTTGTTGTCTCCATGCGCTATAATTTTTCACAATCTTACACTGAAAGCTGCTTAGCTGTAGAAGAGATAGAAATAGAAGTACGGTAAGTACTTCTATTTCTATCCTAAATAGACGAAGTCGGAGTCTCGATCCCTCTTGTAAATAAGTAGATATATATCCATTCTCAGGATCTAGGCTACCCGTGTACCAAATTTCATTTATATCAGTTCAGTAGTTTTGACATGAAAGCGAGACAGACATACAGAGTTACTTTCGCATTTGTAATATTAGTATTATCTGTAATATTAGTAAGGAAGTAAGACTCGACTCACTCAGAGCAGGACCTAGTTTGGTTTACAGACGGGTCCAAAATAGGAGATGATGTAGGATGTGGAATATGTGGTGTAAAACTCAAAATCTGCAACTACATAGGCTTAGGAAAATACGCCTCAATCTTTCAGGTAGAAACTTACGCCTTAATTAGATGTCTGGAAGTAATTCTAGGCCTAAACTACATCACTCAGAACATATACATTTATTCTGACAGTCAAGCTGCTCTACTAGCACTTCACTCATACGAAATCCGATCTTGTTACTAAATGAAGTAGGAAGCAGAAATAATATTATACTGAGATAGGTCCCCGGGCACTCAAACATCGTAGGCAATGAAAATGCCGACCATCGCGCTAAGTTAGGAGCAAAAACCGCCCAACTGAGTCCCGAACCCTTCTGTGGTGTGCCTCATTGCCTAAAACTGGGACACTCAAATTAATAACCAAACGAGAAGCACTGAATCACTGGCAAGAAATGCCAGGATTAACACGTTCAAAAGCCCTAATATTGGGCTACTCGAACAAATACTCCAATAGACTACTGTTATTGAGTAAAACAACAAATGTATGATGAATAGGGCCCTCACAGGACACTGCAAGTTGAATAAGCATGGCTTACCTAGGCCTATGCACGACAAAAATCTACAGATTCTGCCAAACTGAAAGGAAACGCCACTACACATCCTATGTGGTTCTGGGACACTCATGCATAAACAAAATATCTCCCTTGGAAAGTTCTTCTTTCTTCTTTCCCGAGGAGATAAAAACCATCGCTCCTAAGAATATCCTTCAATTCTTGTCCCTGACGGGTCTAGGTAGCGAACTTTAAAAAAGGGCGAGCACAATAGATCTATGTACATAGGTAGCAGTGCTACAGGTGCAGGTATCTGACAATAGCCCAAACAACCCAATAAAAAAAAGGAAGTAAGGATTTTGTACGCAGTATAGTAAGATATTCCAGATAAATAAAAATAACCACTTGCGCTGTTTTTTCTATCGGCGCCATGGCGCATCGCCCTAAAACTAGCGATTGCCGTTTTCATTTTCATGTAAGTATAGAGTAGGGTATGTGACGTAAATAAAAATAGACATATGTTTTAGTTGAAAAGTACATTTATTCATTATTACATACACAGCAGCAGTATCAACAATCATTTCCTTTTTTAATTTTATTGAACGTAATAATTAAAATTTTTTTTAATGATAACAATGTGAAATAGTATACCTACATACCGAGGGTAAGATATCACACCTTTTTAGTTCCGCTACTATATTTGCACTCCAAATTAGCACCCTAAGGCATATTTGTAACTTTTAAAACGAAAATAATGTGACATTTCTCATAGTACAAAATCTGAACTAAACTGGTACGCAATACGTAGTATCGCGTAGCATGCAGGTTACGCTTCCATACTATATCCTACTACCTACTACTACTTGTTTTGAACTATGATTGGATTGCAGAAATAATTAATACATAGCGGTTTCTATGTTGAATATCTCATCCACATAGAAATGCCTCCTAAATTTACGTTAACTAGTAGTTAACGTAAATTTACTAAACACATTTATATAAAAGAGCAACACGTAAGTTTCTCGCTCATATTTCTTGTGCTGAGTTTGCGTTCCGAATGAATACTAGAATAAAAAACACTATCCATAAGTTTATTGAGTTTATTTGTATAAATATCTCTATTTCTATTCACCAATAAAAAAATGCAGGAAGCTTTGAAACATATATTACAAACATATAGGAATTTGAACATAATCACAGTACTCTAGTTTATCGTATACAATTGTAATCACGAATTGATTGAACAGTAGGTAGTATTATATAATATTATGTCCCATTAATGCTATTTTATGTACGCTCGACAAAGACATAAGACACATTTTAGAGAAACACATATTTCATGTATTCATTTGTATTGCGTGTTATATTATGAATCAACCCACATATAAGTAACTATGTGTACAATGCCAAGGTGAAAGGATAGAAGGGAAAGGGTAAATAAAATTCATTTTGGATTTTTTTATATATTTCTATTTTATTTTAAAATAATAATAAGACATGTCTCCTTAATATCTAATTAAATCTGGTTTGAATCACCTTACTCACTTCAATCTATAAAAAATAGGGATACTCCAAGATTCACAATTATATTATATATTGCTTACTCCAAAAAGCAAAGACACTTTTAATAACAAAAATATAATAACTAACTATTATTAAATTAAAAATGGTTTCAAATCATTTCAGAATATAATATTTGAATTAACACCGTTTGTGTATACGTTATGTAATTTATTAACGTATTCATACAAAAATGTTTTATAGTCCAAAAGTAATATACGTAGTAAAAAAGTAGTATATGAAAACGATATTTAATCATCACTATCGTCATAGATGGGCGAAGTCGGAGAATATGTTGGAGAGTTAGGAGAATACGTTGAAGGAGCACCCGAGTTCGGAGAATACGCGGGAGAAGAAGGTGAATAGTTAGGAGATGTCGGTGTATAAGTCAGAGATGTAGGAGAATACTTCGTCGATGATGGAGAATAGCCAGGCGATGAAGGTGAATAGTTCGGAGATGACGGAGAATAATTTGGTGAAGACGATGTGTACCGCATACTTCCAGGGTGTTGTGGTGAAGACGGTGAATATGCTGGACTAGTAGGAGAATATTGAGGACTTGTAGGAGAATATTGCGGGCTTGTAGGCGAATAAGTAGGACTGCCACCAGAAAGTGACGGCGATGTTGGTGAATAATTCGGCGACGTTGGAGTATATTTCGGAGATGATGGTGAGTAGTTGGGAGAAGTTGGAGAATATGCTGGCGATGTGGGTGAGTACGAAGGGCTTGTTGGCGAATAGGCAGGGGATGTCGGTGTGTAATTTGGTGAAGATGGGGAGTAGCTATGAGAAGCTGGGCTATAAACTGGGCTAGTTGGAGAGTAGCTTGGTGATGTCGGCGAGTAACCAGGCGATGTTGGGGAATACGCCGGACTCGTAGGAGAATATGATGGGCTAGTCGGTGAATATGACGGACTTGTTGGTGAATAACTGGGCGAAGTAGGTGAATAACTTGGGGAAGTTGGAGAATATGCGGGACTCGTAGGTGAGTAACTAGGAGACGTCGGCGAATAACTCGGTGATGTAGGTGAATAGGAAGGAGATGTAGGCGAATACCCAGGTGATGTAGGAGAGTAACTTGGAGAAGTTGGCGAATATATGGGTGAAGTAGGAGAATAGTTCGGAGATGTAGGAGAGTAAGAAGGAGAAGGAGGATATTGAGATGATGACGGCGTGAGACTGGGAGAAGCAGGGGCATATAGTGGACTAGTAGGTGAATAAGATGGCGACGCTCCTGCCGGAGAAGCATAAGGTGACAATGGTGGACCAGGAGAACCAGGAGATCCAGGTTGAGGAGACCACGCACTGTATGCTGGTGACAAACCAGATGCATCTGATGCTCCAGAAGGTGAGAATGATGGACCACCAGGCGTCATACTGCTGCCAACTGTAAATAATGATTATAAAATTATTAATACAAAATGGAAAAATACATAAAATATTATTTTATTCTTTGATTATTTTGGTTATTTATTACATATACATGATATAAATAAACATATTTTAAAAAATCATATCATCAAGTTTTATGCTAAAAAATAAACATTTTACCTTGACCTGGAGACCACACACTGCTACCATATCCGGGTGTGTTCTGTGTAGACCATGGAGTCATAAGGGGCGTCATTGAAGGAGTACCGACACCGAAATACATTCCGCCACCAACGCCCATTCCAACTCCAAGACCTCCCATCTCCATTCCATGTTTACATTTCTCAGCGTCAAGTAGTAAATCGAAACATCCTGAAAAACACGGTTCATTAATAAATGACAATCCTATCTGAACTTATAAACACAAAAATGAGGTTGTTTGTTCACAATCGCTTAATCAGTAGAAAGAGAAGGATAAGGATCATAAGCTCATTTATTACATACCAGTCGTGACATGAACAAAGGGCAAAGCTTGCAGTATAGGTATATGTTACATAATATAACAACTAATATAACAATATTGTTTGACAGACTCAGTGATCGAACGGTTCAGTGTCATGGGGACAGAGTGCTGTTTAAAGGCTTTAAAGGTCTGTTAACTTTGGTACTACATGTCGCTGTGAGAATTGGGTTATTATTGTTATTAAATAATGGCTTACCAGTTCCCATTCTGGGCAATTGTCCCATAATAATGTTCTCCGATACGCCTCTCATAGGATCAACTTCCGCGTGACTTGCAGCGTCCAACAACACGTCTACTGTTTCTTCGAATGAACATCTCATCAAAGCACCAGTATCTTGTCTATTGATGCCGTGGCGTGTAATAGCCATGAGATGACCCTTAGCAGTCATGACATCACAAAGCAAGGCGAGATGACGGTAGTTCACGTATAATCCATAGAATTGCAAAACAGCATTCATTTCCTTTTCAACTGATTTACGTACAGCTTCAATACCTAATACTTGGAATATTTCACAAATATCGTTACTAAAGGTTCTAATTGGATCAACGTCACGTTCCGAAAGCACTTTCATCAAAGAAGTACCATCAGTTTCCAATAACCATTCAGCAATAGCTTTAAATTCTCCTTGTTCTGTAATTATGATGCGTTTCTTTGCTTCTGTTTGAGGTAGATGCATGTACACCTTTGCTATAGCCTCTATGCCTTGTAGTGTCATATCTGACAACATGTTGGCCTCTATGCATCTTAAAAACATATCATCTTCCATTTTGTCTACAGTTTCTTCATCATTGTCTTGGAATTTGTTTTCTTCATTATTCATAATTCTTATACGTAATACAAGCTTTTCAGCATTATCATCATTGAATATACAATTTAAATCATCTCCAAATCCAGCATTAATTTTTTCTGCTATTTGTTCCATAGTGAGTTTCTTATCAGTCATCCTCTTGCGATCTAACTCAATACGTAACAACCACGGTGATATTTTCGTAGGATCAAAATCAGGCATTTCGTAATATACATTCACAAATTCTTGATCTTCAGCAATAACAGTATTTTGAGGTTCAGGGTCATAGTAAATAGCGGTATTAGCAGTTACCTTCCTTAAAGTGGTATGCTCTAATCGACAGAGAACATTTTTAGCTTTCTCAGCATCTCTAGCAGCACCACCTGTCAAAAACACAGTTAAAGATGGTGCTTTCGGTTTTTTAGAAATGTTAATAATTTCTTTTAGACGTGGCACACCAAGAGTTACATTTTTAGATGACACTCCAGCAAAGTGGAAAGTGTTCAATGTCATCTGTGTAGCAGGTTCGCCAAGAGACTGAGCAGCTAATGCACCAACCATTTCACCTGGATTTACTTGAGCTTGTTGGAAACGTGTTTCAATTTCTCCTATCAACCATTCAAAGGCTTCACTAGACAGTCTATATTCCTCAGATACGAATTTGGTGCATAAGGTAGACCTGACCAAACATTGAAACAACAATGTTGCATTTTCATTAGCTTGTTTAGATAAACGATCTTCTCCTGCTACAATCACACACTTTCTAAGGAGGTCTTTTACACCTTGTATAACTTTTATAGGACTTAAATCTGTTGGCATTCTCTTATTTATATGGAAAATCTTTTGCACATTCCAAATCATCCGTTTAAAGTTACAAGGTAACACAACTTTAGACTCGCCACTTGGGAAAATCTGACGAAGTATCTCTCTGTCTTTAGATAATTGTTCCCATTCACTTTCAAGGTCAGCAATAACATAACCAGACTCTGTTAATTCTTTAATGATGTCTTCATTGAATATTCGCTTTAGATATCTTTCATTAGATGGATCAAATTTGAATTTCTTTTCAAAGGCCTTGTTAGATAATTTCACTGTAGGTAAATTTTGGAACTCTACTGTTTCACCAGCTAATCCATCCTCGCCATACCTTAACTGAATAAGTTGTCCAACTGAATTACGAACTGTCCCATCATAATGGACCATTACAGACTCCATGGCCTTTATTAAACGACGCTGGATATACCCAGTTTCTGCAGTTTTCACAGCAGTATCGATAAGACCCTCACGACCTCCCATAGCATGAAAATAAAACTCAGAAGGTGTCAATCCAGCAAGATAAGAATTTTCTACAAATCCTCTTGATTCTGGACCATAATCATCCTTGATAAAATGTGGCAATGTTCTTTTGCGGAATCCAAATGGAATTCGTTTACCTTCAACATTCTGTTGACCTACACAAGCAATGACTTGTGAAATATTAATATTTGAACCTTTAGAACCAGCTACTACCATAGCCTTCAGGTTGTTATATTCTGTTAAGGATTTTTTAGCTGAACCACCAGTTTTGTCACGAGCGTCATTTAATATACGATTTACTTGATTTTCGAATGTTTGTCTAAGTGTATTACCAGGTGTAGGTTCTAGCTCCATGTTGTGGGCTTTCTGGATTACCTCTATGACATCATCTTTCGCTTTTACAATTGCACGCTGAATCTCTTGATATGTTTGTGGATCAGCAATAGTGTCACCAATACCAATAGAATGTCCCTCTAATAAAAGCCAATTGTTGATTACTGTTTGAATGTTACCGTAAAATCGGCCCGCAACTTCATGCCCTAACTCCAACATGCAAATATGTAGCAGAGAACCAGCTGAAGCACCCAAAGATTTCTTACATAAGATGCCCATTAAAAGCTCTCCATGCTCCACAACGACTTTAGTGTCTCCTGGAGAAATCCATTTATAAGGCCCATCATCTTCTTCATCGGGATGTGTAGAATGGGTTCTGATCATATTTACATTGCCAGGAATAATTAATGTAAATATTTGTTTCCCAGTCCATAAAGGTTGTGGTTTTAAAATGCAGGGTTGTGGAATTTTACCATCCCATGTAGGAAGAAACATCAATAAGTTCATTACTTGTTCTTTTGTTAAAAATACGTCTCGTTTTGTCATTTTTCTAACAGCTGTTAAAGTATCTTGTACAATACCCATAACAGGTTTATTGGCTTGTGGAGTAATGATCTGTCTGGGTGTAATGTGAATATTTTCCACCTCAGCACGCGTTTCCATAGATTGTGGTACATGTAAATTCATTTCATCTCCATCAAAATCAGCATTGTATGGAGATGTACAGCTCAAATTCATGCGAAATGTTGACCATGGTAATACTTTGACTCTATGTCCCATCATACTCATTTTATGTAGTGTCGGTTGCCGGTTGAAAATAACTAAATCATCATCTCGTAAATGTCTTTCTACTTTATAACCATATTGCAAGTGTAAATCAGATGGTTTGGGATGAAATCTCAAATCTATTCTTTCTCCATTATCTCTGACTATATATTTAGCTCCAGGATACTGTGCATTCCCTCTCCTTACAAGTTCCTGCATTCTGTCAATATTAAAAGGAGTGACTAATTCAGGGAATGTTAAATTTTGTGCAATAGATCGCGGTACACCAACTTGATCAATACGCAAATTTGGATCTGGTGTAATGACAGTACGAGCTGAGAAATCCACACGTTTTCCCATAAGGTTCCCTCTGATTCTACCTTCTTTTCCTTTCAGCCTTGCTTTGATAGCTTTAAGTGGTTTACCAGACTTCTGCATAGCTCTGAAATTCACAAAATAATATTACTTTAGTAATTTAAAGGAAATTCAACACTATTTGTTTCACAACAAATAGTGTTGAACAAACACATCAGACAAATACCCAATATTTTTTGTTTTGTGAATTCATTTGTATATTTTGCATACTGCAACACAGTTACAATTTTAATAATATGTATTTAAATAAATAGGGTTTACATGTGCCGATGTACATACATTTCAACATTCCACTGTTGTTTCTAATTTTTTCAATTAAAACAACTTACTTTGGCATACCAGGCATGTCATTATCCACAAATGTGGCAACATGAAACTGTAGCATTCTGATATTTACAGCAAGCACGTGAGCAGCTGCTCCTGACTGTTCATTTCTCATTAACTCATTATTAGCTTTTATAATGTCAGAAAGTTTGTGAGTTAAATCATCTTGATTTTTGGCAGCACCAAACATAACTACAGCAGGTCTTACTGACAATGGTGGTACAGGCAATACTGTGACTATCATCCAGTCAGGTCTAGCAAATTTGGGATCCATACCTAATATGAAGGATTCTTCATCTGGAACAAAATATTTATTAAAGGATTTATGCAATTGTATTTGCAATAGCTATAAATCTTATATCAAAATTATTTAAAATACATTTTATATTTATACAGTAAAAAATGAGAAAGATAAAAATGGATTTACATTTAAAGACAAATGTAAAATATTTATAGTAATAATAACTCAGAACAAGTGACACACCACTATCTAGTTTGTGATTTCTATCACTTATCATAATTGTTATGTACTAAAGTGGGTACTTTGTAAAAAAGAGTCAGTAGATGTCATTCTAGCCAGTGTGATTTGTACTTCGAAAAATACGTGTTTTAGTGAGGCGACGAGAAAAAATAGCGGAAAAGTGCAATAAAGTGATTATTGTCTAACTAATTACATAAATAACAATAATGGGCATAAAATTTAACGAGTTTGGTATAGCACATGGGTGTTGACAAAAATATATAGAAAGGTTATGTTTTTGCTTCCAAGCTAGTGAAATTGAAGAAGATACAAAGAAAAAAGCGAATATATTGGCGGTCTGTGGCCCTGAATTATATGATTTAATCATTTCTTTGATATCTCCAAGTAAAATAAGTGATGTGACTTTCTCTTTTATTGTGGGCATTTTGAATAATCATTTTCATCTGAAACCTAATGAAATTGTAGAATCGTATAAATTTCACACAAGAAATCAAGAGGAAGGTGAAATGATAAAAAATTATATTGCTCAATTACGTAAATTAAGTATAGGTTGTAATTTCACTGATTTAGATCGTACTTTGAGAGATAGATTGGTGTGTGGAATATTAGATAAAGATATTCGGAGGAAACTGCTGCAACAAAGGCAATTAACATTTAAACAAGCTTGTGACACAGTATTATCACAGGAAACTGCAAATTTTGATACAAATATTATCACACCATGTAGTACAAATACTCCAGTACTCGATAGAATAGTGCCAATGGATATTAACAAAGTACGGGTGAGTCAGAGAATGTCTTCTCAGAGCACAAATAAGAATAATGAGAATATGTCAACCTGTTTTCGTTGTGGGACACCACATAAGGGTAAATGTAGGGTCTAGGTAGGGAACGCTGGACTAAATGCCATCATTGTGGGAAAATTGGTCATATAGAGGCAGCCTGTTTATTGAAGTCCAGCCAAGGTAAGAAGTATAATTCAGAATGTAATGGGTTATATGAAGTGGGAATCAACAGCATTAGACAAGACAAAGTGGATCCTTTTGTGATTAGAGTATTCCTTAATAGAATGGAATTACCGATGGAAGTAGATTCAGGTTGCCCATATACAATTATAAATGAGATAACAGCCAAACAAATATGGAAGGGTAAATTACCTAAACTAGAATTAACAGATATTGCATTAAAATCTTACACAGAAGGTAAATTAGTATTATTAGGTCAGACGAAAGTCCATGTAAAATATAAACAAATAAGTAAAATTATTTGTTTGTTTGAATATATTAATTACAAAAGGTAGTGGTTCAAGCCTAATTGGCAGGAACTGGTTTGCACAATTGGGTATAAGTATAGAAGGATTAAATAATGTTAAATCAATGGATTTTAATAAGGGACAGACAACACAATTGTTTTATAGATACAAACAGATTTTTGAGCCTGGTTTAGGCAAATATGGTTTAGGCAAATACACTGGGCCAGTAGTGAATATTACACCAAAAGAGGGTTCTGTACCAAAGTTCCTTAAAAGTAGACCCATTCCATTTGCAATTAGAGAAAGAGTATTTAAAGAAATAGACAGACTGGTTCAGGAGGAGGTATTAGAACCTACTACACATTCTGAACTGGCTACTCTGATAGTCCCAGTATTAAAAATGGTCAGGTATGTTTGTGTGGAGATTATCGGTCCACAGTGAATGCAGCTACAAATACAGATACATACCCTTTACCTACACTTAATGAAGCTTTTGTGCAGCTTCAGGGGCGAGTAATATTCTCAAAAATTGATTTGAAGCAGCATACACACAGGTGACTATTGATAATAACACAGCCAGCTTGCTTACAGTAAATAAACCTAAAGGATTATACAATGTAAAGTGGTTGGCCTTCGGTGTTAAAGCTTGTCCTGGTATTTTTCAAAGGCTGATGACTTCATTACAGGCAGGAATAACAGGAATAGCTGTTCTGTTAGATGATATCGTTATTTCTGGTAAGGTTATCAATATACACAATGTAAGACTGGAGATGGTGTTACAGAGGTTACAAAAAATTGGTCTAAGAGTGAATAAAGAAAAATGTTTGTTTGCAGTCAGTATCGTAAAGGATTATTTCTTCCTCAAAGCCAAGGCAATTACTACATTGACGTTTATATCCTGTCTTTGATAGCGGTGCTTGATTGATTGACGGGCAAACTTGACCAAACATTTGGCAAGTTTTTAGGTTATTTAATTGAATTGAAAATTGATTGCATTGAGAAGACACCTGCACCAAAAAATATTAAGGAATTACTGGCATTTCTAGGACTTCTTAATTTTTATGATAGGTTTTTACCTCATAAGGCAACCATTGCTGAACCATTATTAGAGAAAGGCTCCAAATGGAAATGGAACAAAGAACAACACACTGCTTTTACAAAATTGATAACAATGTTATCCAATGAAGATACGCTGGTTCACTATGATGGCACCAAGAAATTAATTATATCTTGTGATGCTTCTCAGTACGGACTTGGTGCTGTTCTAGAACAGGAAATGAACAATCGTATGGTGTTTGCATCACGTACTATGAATAGCCATGAGCGAAACTATGCTCAGATTGATAAAGAAGCAGCTGCTATTGTTTTTGGTTTGAAGAAAATCCAATTCCACATAAATGGACGGAAAGTGATAACTAAAACAGATCATAGACCACTGTTAGGAATTTTTGGACCAGGAAAACCAATTCCTACAATTATATCACCCAGAATGCTGAGGTGGGCACTTTTATTGAACTCATATGATTACGAGATTCAATATATAGAAGGCAGGAAGATAGGAAATGCTGATGCATTAAGTCGGTGACCAGCAGAAGAATCAACCATAGAAAATGAATATTCAGGAGTTTTATTAATTGAAGAGACGCCAATGGAACTAGAATTTACAGCTAAAGATGTAGCAAAACTTACGAGAAAAGATAAAGTTTTAAGTAAAATATTATATTGTATAAGGAATGGATGGTCTTCTAAGGTACATACAGACTATAAAATGTTTATGAAAATTAGAGAGGAATTATCTGTACATAGTGACTGTATACTGTGGGGAAATAGAGTGGTGGTGCCAGAGAAAATGTGCTCTTATATATTGGAAGAATTGCACCGGAACCATGATGGTATAGTTATTAGTAAAGCTATAGCTAGAAGTTATTTTTGGTGGGCATGTATGGATAAATAAATTGAAGAGATGATAAAAAACTGTAATGTTTGCTCATAAAAAATAGGAACATGCCTGCTCCAGTTACTCATCAGTAGTTGAAACCAGATAAGGCCTGGTCAAGAGTACATTATGATTACGCTGGACCTTTAGGTACAGGGTAAATCTTTTTTAATACTCATAGATGCCTACTCTAAGTGGCCAGAAGTTAAAATAGTAAATGATCTTAGCAGTGCTACATTGATTCGAGAATTAAGATATATTTTTGCTGAACAAGGTTTACCTGATTCTATTGTAAGTGACAATGGTCGAAGTTTTATTTTGGAATTTCAGAAATATCTTAAGAGCTGTGGAATTAGACAGATATATGTACCTCTTTATCATCCATCATTGAATGGGCAAGCTGAACGTACAGTGCAGACAGTAAAAAATATACTTAACAAAAGAACATCAGAACCTTGGTACAATGGAATGGAAGGTTGTTATTGAGACACATTAACCAGATGCATAAAGGAGGGATAACAATTAATGACTCTTTGAATTGATAACTCACGGACCATTGTAATAAAAAAAAAAAAAAAAATCAATAGCCTAGTAATTAGTTATTTAAGTGTTAACAAAATGTGCATGGACAATGAAATATAAAAGTGAATGTAAATTGTCTTGTGTAAATGTTTACCAATCTCGGGGGAAAGATATGTTATGTACTAAAGTGGGTATTTTATAAAAAAGAGTCAGTAGATGTCATTCTGGCCAGTGTGATTTGTGCTTCGAAAAATATGTATTTTAGTGAGTATATAATAATAATTATCTATTTTAAATATTATAATTCTAAATGTATTACTCTAAATCTGAAATGTTAGTTGAAATAAATAAGTTACCTGTGATATGCTTAAGAATTTCCCACACTCTTTCTGCTGTGATAGTAATTTTTTTTTCTTGTGTATCTTCATTAGCATGCTTCCACTCAGCTGTAAGATCTAATCCTTGCCGCCTGATGGATGGCTGATAGTGACCACATCCCCCATGTCCAGAACCTCTTTTGCCTTCTTCCCCTTCCTTGCCTATATCCATATCTTCACCTCCTTCACAAATATTTTTACCTTTACACAAGTCATAGACATATGTCAACCTTTTACGAGGTTGTCCTTTTGATTTCATAACAACTTCTTTTATTTTTGGATTAGTCTGCAATTTGAAAACATAAGTAAGAATATGTTCCATATATTTTCATGATACATTAACAATTGTAAGTAATCTTACCGGGCTAACAAGCAATTTTGAACAGTAGAAACAAACACATCTTAATATTTTTATTGTCTTTGTTATAAAACCTATATGAAATACTGGCTTTGCCAGATCAATATGTCCAAAGTGTCCAGGGCATTCTGTCATGTTTCCAGCACAAGTCTGGCATCTGGAACTCCTGTCTATCACCCCTTGTCGTGGATCCATAAGACCTCCAAGCTTGGGTCTTCCACCTTCCATTGTTTCGGGAAAGCGTATTCCCCCTTCTGTGACTGACATACGTCGCTGGAAACATTATTTCTATTATTATAGAATTCAAGCAAACACCTACTGCTTATAGGAGTAATGTATATCTAGCAACAACAATCGAATAGCCCATCTCATAGTAAGTGGTGACTATTGCCTAAATATACATGAACAATATTTTAGTCTATGTCGGGTAGGGTGGTTACAGTAATAAAGACTATGGGCAGACAATAACATAGAAACAATATCTTGACACAACAATATCCTACAAATAAATAGCTGGCTATACATTATGAAATCCAAAAGAAAAAATAATGAGTCTATAAGTAGGTACTATTTAATATTTTTCATTTTGTATTTAATGTGTTTTCCTTACTTTCATAATATATGTCTACTCAATGACTCATTTCAGTCTGTTTTTATTGTAGTTGTAGATAATGAATTCCTAATATTACTATTGCTTACTTTCTTATCTCTTAAAATACCAAAGTGAAAATATTGTGCAACAAAACCATACATTATTTTCCTGTTTTGTGATTAACGTTTGTTCTCATTATTATTACATTTTGTATTAATTACAAAAATAATAATTACAATAATTATATATGTAAACTTCGTCATAATCGTCTTTATTTTTAAAGATAAACTTGTAAGTCAAAAGACAACGCAACACTTGAAACATTATTAGTTGCAATGAAGACAACAATTATAAATCCTGAAATAACATTAGCATTAAAATTTAAACTTACGATTTCATCTGGAGATAATATACCAAATTGTACTCTTTTTACTTGGCGCAATGGCGCCTTTGAATCATTCGTAGTAGCCATTTTGTTGACTACATGAATTTACACGATTAGACCATTTGTGTTTATATACCCATGCCACGATATTTTAACTCCATCCCCCTTCCTCTAAGGCTCACTATAATTGTCTACGGTCCACAGAGTTGCCAACCTTTAAAAAATTTGCTCGTATTACAAGTCGTTAAACTGTTATATTGGGTTAATTTGGCACAAAATCCTTCTAGTATTTTGACACATTTCTTGGTTTAAAATTTCGTACAAACTAGCAAGTTGTTACACGGAAAATCTCATATCTGTATGAGGGTTGTCATACGGTAGATATCAAACAAACTTATTCGTCCAATTAATCTGCTCGCTATATGTATTCTAAAGGGCAGTGCATACCCTTTCAGCTTATAAGTCAATATTAGTTTTTATTTTATATTTTCCTATATTGTAATTACTGTACAATGGGGCATAAATCAAAAGGCGTAGTGATTACTTGCTCAGTGCAAGTCTTATGATAATGTAATATAGTCGTTATAAATTTATTTCATACTTTTATTCAAATTATTTTTCTACCTACCCACCACCTTTCATCTTTGTCACAATCAAAGTGTAAATCAAAAAGTAAAAAGAAAAAAGGCGGGAAACATAGAATTTGGTGGTCGTGTTTTTTTTGTTAAGAATTAAATAAAAATTTAATAGTGATCAGTTAAGTTATATATTATAGATATTTTCACTCTTTTATATATATTTTATTTGTTTACTAGTGTAATTATAGTATCTGTAACATAGGTAAGTCATAATTATTTAATTTATATATGGACCCTCCTGAGGATCCTGGGAGCACAGGCCCTCAGGTGGGCCAATACGTAAGTATTAGCAATAATGAAAATGACTCCGTGGATACTGATTGCTCTTTTACCCTAGTGGAGAATTTGAAAGTTAAACGAAAACGTATATCTGCTACTCATGTGTGTAAACACTGTAACAAAAAGCGAAGAAGAAATCGCGGTTCTAAAGGAAACTCTAAAAATCAAGAGAACACTTGTCAATGCGCTGTTGTAAATGAAGGTGATCAACCTTCTTCTAATACATGTACAAATATGATAGACATGTAGAGGATAATGAGAATAAGGTCGAGCAACCTCCTGTGACATGTGCAAATAATGAGGATAAAATGGATAATGCTGGTTCAAGTCAGTTACGACCATCAGTAGCTTTATTATCAATCAGGTGATGCGGCACCTTATGTAGTCCATATCCAAAAGGAGCAGTCTTCGCCGGATGACAGAATTACTGTACACCCGATTGCCTTTGGTCGCCTCTTAAAAACTTGTGCTTATAAAAATGTTTTGAATGGTAGCTTGAAAAAAATTGGTAGGAATAGACTAGCTTTGTCATTCTCTAATTTTATTGATGCCAATTCCTTCATTGACTGTGACCGTTTAAAACAACAGAACTATAAAGCATTTGTCCCCTCTTTTAATTTTACTAGAATAGGAATTATTAAGGGTGTTCCCTCAAACTGGTCCCCTGAAGAGGTAATAAGTAACATTTCTGTCCCACTTGGCTGTGGAGAAATACTTAAAGTTAGAAGGATTAGACGTAAGAATATCATTAATGGTGATCCATATTTGTTGACACAGAAACTGTTATTATAACTTTTGATGGTCAAATACTTCCTAAACGTGTGATATTTACATATACCCAACAATACAATGTTATAACTGTTGTCGATATGGTCATGTTAAGGATCAATGCCGTTCTACACCACGGTGCTATAAATGTAGTAAAGGACATTCAGGTGAAAACTGTACGCAGCAAGAAGACTTCTGCTGCTGTCTATGTCTTGGTGATCATCAAGCTAACTGTAAAAACTGCCCGGAACTATTGAGACAAAAAGCAATAAAAGAAACTATGGCTAAAAGCTGTATATCTTATGCAGAAGCCAGCAAATTGCATGGTCCTGTAACAAAATCGTATGCTGACACAGTTAAAACTACTGCGGAACATTTAAATAATACTAAACCCCAAAATACTCTATCTTCTAATATAATCAATAGGTCATGTAAAGAAACCATTGTACAAGAACCCCTTCAACCTCCAAAATTATCATATGGTTATGATGTAAACATGCATAAGCAATTAATAAAAGATTATAATCCTCCTACTCCTGCAGATGGCTGCGGTTATAAATCTGTAGCTGATCAGAATTTACCAAATCAATTTACAGAATTAATCATGGCTTTAATTAAATTGCTGACCGAGTCTAATTCTATTGTACCATCCAACGCTGCTTCTCTATTTAGTGCTCTTCTTCAAATCTTCAACAACAATGGCTCCATTGGCCAAAGTTCTCCAGTGGAATTGTCGTAGTATTATCAATAAAAAAAGTGAATTATTTCATATTTTCAATAAAAATAAACCTATTATTTGTGCCCTTCAGGAGACATGGCTGAAACCCATATCTACTTTTAAGGTACCGGGTTATGCTTGTCTCAGAGAAGATAGGACAGATGGGTATGGTGGTGTCGCTATACTCGTCCAACATTTAGTTCCTTATTCACATATACCTATTGATCATAGCAGTAATTTTTCCATATTAGCTGTCCAAGTTAACAACATTGTTATGTATCTTTATATATACCTCAACCATCAACTTCTATTTTTAATGAACTTAATAATATTCTTTCTGCCCTTCCCAAACCTTTATTAATACTAGGAGATTTAAATTTACAACATCAGTCCTGGGGTAGTACAACAAACAATTCATATGGCCACCAAGTTTTAGAAATATTAGATACCCTTAACCTGTGTGTATTAAATACTGGCCAACCTACACGTCGTACTCCACCTAATGAAGGATTGGAATTTGGAACACATTTGGAAGTGTCCTCCCTGTGAGTGAATTTCCCTCTTATTATTTCTTTTCCTTTTATTGATAAACCACTACCAAAATATGAATCAAGGATGAAATATAAGCTAAATAATGCTGATTGGGATACTTTCAATAACGTCATTGCATCTAAAATCTCATCACTGCCTATTATTACTCAAGGCACTGAAACCATTTGCTCTAATGCTTTCACTAAAGTATTAATACAGGCTGCTAATGAAGTTTTTCCTAAAAAATCTTCTAAGAATACAATACCTTCACCACCATGGTGGGACAGTGAATGTACTGAAGCTATCAGGAAAAGAAAAAATGCTGAAAAACAATACAATTTACACTCTACATTGGAAAACTTTGATATCTTCTGTATTATATCCAGAACTACCCGTAAATTGTTAAGAAATAAGAAATTAACAGGTTGGAAGAAATTCTGTTCATCTATTTCTCCCAATGTGAATGCATCTATAGTCTGGAGTAATATAAGAAGATTTAGTTAGTAGAAGATAAGTGCATTCCGCGATTCTAAATCAAATGTACTTCCTCCTCATATGGTTGAATGTTTCCTAGACAAGTTAGCCCCTCCCTCAGTTCCTGAAAAAGTTTTGTTGCATAAAGTTGTAATTACCTCTGATATAGATAATTTCTCTAAATTAAATGCTCCATTGTCGTTACCAGAGCTTAACTTTTGTAAGTACTCCCACTTACAAAAGTTAAAGATTCTGCACCTGGAGAAGATGGAATACCATATTCTTTTTTTTCACACTTAGATAGTACATCTCTCTCCTATTTCTTAGATATCATTAACTCAAATATGATATCTGGTAATATTCCTGCTTTATGGAAGACTCAAAATATAATCCCCATTCTAAAACCTAACAAAACTCCATCTGACATTGCATCCTACCGTCCTTTAGCGCTATCTTCAGTTCTGCTTAAACTGTCAGAACATCTGATCAAAAACCGTCTGGAATGGTATACTGAAAGTAACCACTATTTATCAGATAGTCAATATGGCTTTAGAAGAGGGAAATGTACTCTTGATAGTTTAAGTTTGTTTATAACGGATATTCGTTTAGCCTTTTCTAGAAATGACTCTGTACTTGCAACCTTTTTAGACATAGAATCTGCTTATGATAATGTTTATTTGCCAATACTTAAGCAGAAACTTGATATATTACATATTCCAGTTAGACTGTCAACTTTTATAATTAATATTCTTACTGAAAGAACTATTATTATAAATTCTGATGACACTGGAATCTCATCTAGAGTAGTATGGAAAGGACTCCCACAAGGTTCAGTGGCACGGCGGCCGGAAGGGCCCCCGGTCCCCCCACTGGTGTAGCAGCCGGGTCCACTCCGGTCTCCTCCTCCGGCACGACTACTACACCAGGGATTATGCACAGCCTCCCAGGGCGGAGATTATGTAATCCCTGGGCTCGAGAACCCAACAACCTGCGGGCGGCCAGCGGTTAGCCGTTTCATCGGGTCTCCCTGAACGCCGCGCCACCACGTCGCGCCTATGCAATCCCGAGGCACTGTTGGACACACAGGTCCACCAATACCAGCACAACCCATCCCCATGGGGCTCTGGTCACCTTACTCACCACAAGAACACAGTGCTGTTGTGTAGTGCAAGTACAGCACTGTTTGGCTGTGGTTTTCCGCTTGGTGGAGGTACTACGCCAGTTCGGGCCGCCCCAAGTCGAGCAAGATGTATCGAAATACATCTTGCTGTGCCCTCCCTTCTTTAAAAAACATTGCTAGCAATGCGTTCACTAGTCTTCATCACTAACAACCCCTCTACTGAACTACTTAGGCGTTGCCATTCAGGAGGCCAATAGCTTATGCGTGCGTAAACTGTAATTTCACCATTCAACCGAAACATGTCTGCAGAGCAAAGTACTTTGCTGTTGAAATAGATGAGCCAGATTTACCTATTCATTGATTATGTACAAAGTCTACCTCGCTAAAAATACATCATCATTGCCTTGCCTTTATCCCATTATTTGGGGTCGGCGCAGTATGTCATTCTCTTCCACTGCTCTCTATCAGTCGTCATATCTAAACATACTCTTCTTTTATTCATATCATCTTTCACACAATCCATCCATCTTTTCTTAGGGCGTCCCCTCCCTTTACATCCATCCACATTCATATTATACACTTTCCATAAGACATGGTCCTAAAAATACATATTCCTAAGTAAGTCTCTGCTTATTTATTGATCGCGGTGGTTGGCGTAGATGGTATTTTCTATATTCCACATAGACGAACGTCTACCAGCCTAATGTTTTTTGAGAATGCATATATATGTGCGACCAGTGTATCAGCGGGGCACAAGTGAATCCTAAGATGAATATTAATTCAGACCAACATATACCGAGTACACATACAACAAATGAGAGCAGTATTTCATTGTCATATGAAAAAATATTATCATTTCATTTCATTATTTATATCAACATTCATTACGCTGAAGAGATCAATGCAATGGAAGGGGGTGATCGCAATTATCAACGATTCACATCCAAACCCTAGCCAATAAAATACCATAATTTTTAGTTCGATTAGAATTCCTGAACAATGTCTATCAAAGATAAACACTTAAGATTAATGGCAATGGCAGTATTAATTCAGTGAATCCGATTTCTATTTATAACCATAAATGGAAGGCGATATATTTGCACTGATGTCTGTATTACATAAATTTCATTTCAAATGGATATATGCAATATATGATCAATTCCATATTACGTGGTACTGCAGATTTTTTTGGAATCAAATTGTTGAGGTAGCTTGAAATAGTTAGGTATATGCGTGAACAGATTGATTAGGTAAGATTCGTGACATGATTATGATTAGATAAATACAGGCTAGGATGAAATCTACTATCGCCATTGTCCTAGCTTACATTTATGCAAGAAAAATCGGAATAAATATTATCTATTTTATTGCAAATTTATGATAATGTAATAAATATACTTTGGCAGAACAAAAGATCTAGCTCTTACAAATACATATTTCACAAAGGTGCAACCCTTATTGTGTATTAACTAAGTATTGAAATGCAATTATTAAATTCATTTACACCTTAGTACTACTACTGGAGGCGCTACTTGTGTTAAATTCTAGAAAATCTTTAAGTAAAGTCGTTCGTCTTTTTTCTGCAATATCCATCTGATTTTCTAAATCGCCACGATCTGTCGTCTCCGCTCTTTCCACTTTCCAGGATAAATTTTCGATTTCTGCTTCGAGTTGAGCCTAAAATATAACATACAATTTCACATAATATTAATATTAACTAACAATGATCGCAATTGTCATCTCGTGAAAAAAGTACTCTAAGTAAATACTTAGATTACCTTAACGGTACAATTTCTGAAAACAAAACAAAATCTGAATTTCTTTTTTTCAATACATTCCTTTAGGTATTTTGGTAACAATGGTGTGATTTCTGTAAAAAATATAGTCACTTTATACCTACCATCAAAATATTTGTACCTCAATTTAAGCTTATGCATAATGTCCAACTATTTACAACGGAAAGACAAAGTCCGGCTATAAAAATACAGATGTACTTCTACATGAACAGTAAAAAAATGCAAATTAATGGGTATCTACAGTGTTCAAAGTCGTTTATGTGTAATAAGGCATTCATAATCGGCGAATTTAGCGTTTTATGCACAACATGATTATTATAAAGAATTCATTACAACTCACAAAATAAACAACAAAGAAAAACTTTGATATAAACATTATACTGTTTACAACGACAGTAAATCAATATCTAAGGTCATAAGGTGACATACGGATATCCAATTAACACTTTTTCCATACTAATTATTGATAGTTTCAATGTACAAATATATATGTGATTAAATTACCTAATCACACGCAAACGATGAGTGATCCACTGGCCATAACTCATTCTTAATACTTATTTATTATAAAGAAATATACCATCACGACAGTTCTCCAATTCTAATTTATAATAATATTTATTTAATAATACAGTGGACCCGCGGTTATCCGGCTCCCCTTGTAACCCGACATGGTCTATTATTTATTATGTATTTCAAATTCTATATGACAGACTAAATCGTTAAAATGTAAAACACAATAAAACATACTGACTTTCATAATTGATTTTAAAATATTACTGCATATTACAGCTTTATAATTTAATAGCAAACCAGACCACGCGATGCTGTCGCTAAGGTTCTAGAATAAATATAATAATATTACGACTATCAATTGAGATGTAAGCTAAAGATGTTAGATAGGATATCTTTAAAGTTGGATCAAATTGCACACAATGTGCAAATTAAATTTTGCAATCGGTTCGGTAGTTTAGTTGTTCATCGCGGAAAAACAACGTGACACGCAATTTTTATATATAAATTAGGTGTCACGTTGTTTTTCCGCGATGAACAACTCACACATATATATTGATTTGAACAGTACCAAAGACTTTGTCATAATATGAGCATTTTAATTTTAACTCAATGTATCTAATGATTCGAGTCCGATCACAGCACATGTGTAAGCTGTTTTAATGAAAAATTAAAAGCGAAACATAGAGAGTTAGAAAGAGGTTTGGGTCGGTGTACAGACTATCTGTATGACAGGCGAAGTCTGTATGAATATTTGAAACAAAATGTGGCTAGTCTTCATAATGAGTGGTTGTTTTGAGTTGGAATTTACATTTATCAATGCGTTTTTACGTAGTTTATTTTGGTGGTAACTGATAAAAAATATATAATCATATATTGTTTATTGGTTATGCTCTGTTATTTACCTGTATGCCACTGTTACTATCCTAAATTGATAAGTTCTAAGGTAACTTCCCTCACTAGCCTAAATTATAAAGTATACAAACCTGCTGATACTCAAACAGTTCTTTTCTAGGACCCACTTCCATATAATAAGCATAGGGATAAGTGTACTGAAGAGTATATCTACAGCGTTTTAAAAGTCTTGCTGCATCCCACAGATATTGCCAGTCTATCCAAGTTCCTTCACCAGCCATCACCTATGAATTAAAATTTTTAATTTTTAATATAATCATAAATGTTGTAGAAGTTGAGTAAATTATAATGAAAACAATGTAAAAAGATTTATTTTATCATATTTGTAATGGATAATTCTTATAGAATTACATATTTCATGTATCTCAGAAAAGGCTTTAACAATCTGGATCATATTTTGCACTTATTAAAAGTTTAGCTTAAATTTATCTGCATAGAAGCGATTCTTGCAAAATATTAGACTTTTACCTACAAGAAATAACTAAAAATATATTTATTTTTCATGTACCTATATTCAATTGGTGTTTTTGTTATTTGACATACTGGTAAAATAAAAACTCAATGAGATGACATTACATGCTCAATAAGCAAAATTCAGTCCTAAGTACTCGTAATAAAAGTACAATGGCCCTGAGTGAGGTATAAAGGAGGTAATACAGCGCTATAAAGGTTTAACTTTGTGTTTTAAAAAATAATACTGCTTTTATCTGCTAAAATCTCATCATATAAGTAACTATTAATATCCTAAAATAATAAGTCATAGTACCTTTTGATTTATACGACTCTTAAGATTTGCTAATGTTTGCTCTTCTAATTTTAATGACCTTGCATGGTTCTCCCATCTCTCATAGTAATGCAAGTATTTCTTAAGAGCTTCTCTTGCCTGAAAATTAACCACAAGATTTAATATCCTTACAAAATATAAATAAAAGATTACTGTATATGTTATTCAAGGTATTTTAATATATTTTAATGCTTTTATTACTCTGATGCTGAATACATAATAAGAATAAATTATTTGAAAACAATGAACTCAATATGCCAAAACTATACTGCAGACAGACAGTCAGGCGCAGCAACAGATTTATAAGAAAGTTATATACATACATATATAAATCTTTAGTTTCAGGGAATCTACATACAATATTTATGATATAACTACATAAGATGTTTACTGATGTGAAATCATTGAGCATTGGCAACATTGACATTGCATTCATGTATAAATATTTCTATTAATTTGAAAAATATTCCATTTCATCTTTTAAATTATAATTAAATACACTTATAACATAATTATAAGATATTATTTTGTAATCCCTTAACAAGATCATGCATTTACCTGGGCATGCTGACTATCATTAGCTAAATTTGGATCCTCCTTGTATCTGCTACATTCATAATACTCAGATCCATGGGTTTTCCAGTCACCTGAACAAACCCAACAGAAATCATGTCTGCATGCACCACACTGCATATGATTGCAGCCCCCATTTTTTTCTATACATATCTGGCACTTTGGGCAGTCCTGAAAATAAAACAAATTTTTAAGTGCCTTATAATACAATTTTTCTTAAACTAAGTACAAGTTTTAGGGTAATATAGAGAATATTACCCTATGGTTTTAGTATGGATACTAAACAAGTCTTAGAAATACTCAAAAATAACCACCAGTTATTATAAGTATTTCTAAGATTTACTTACTATATTAATGTTATAGAGTATATAAGTTACTTTATATAAAGCTTTTATTAGACATTAGAAGATGAGACACTTAACTTTATAATTGCAATTTTCATTTTAATAATCTTATAAATATATAACAACCTTTGTATGAGCACTTATGTAGTTAGCAGTTTCAGAATCATCAGCACATTTAGTAAGCCAACGGCGAATAGTGGAACAGTCTGTAGGTGCATGGTGAGGTGCTCCACATGAAAAACAAGTGATTAGCTCACATCCTCGACACTCCACACGACGAGCCCCCTCACGAGTCCAAGCTTGGAATATCCACTTAAAATTGAAAATATTTATGATTGTCACATAAGCTGTATAAGAACAATAGTTTTGAAGTACAGTACATTAAATAAGTATTTTAACTTAGAATATAATAGAAAATAATTTATTCAAATAAACTCACACTGAAGTACTTTTGAATAGTCATTACATTTTTTTTAAATCTATCACTTATTTGGAAAGCTGGCTCATAACAAGAAGAATGAGTAGGACACTTGTGTTTGCTTTTTAAAATAATTTTCTTGTTACTTTACATTTTTAAGTTGAAGTGTGTTGAACAAACAACCATCTAGCACTAATTCAATTGAATATTCAAACCGAGAAAATAGACTTAAATATTTATTCCACATAAATGTGTGTTAAAATTTGAGATGTGACAGTCAAAGGCAATGTATAATGTCAATATCATGGTGTACGCAGTACTTAACATGGCCACATTTCACTTGGTATAAATAAAAAAAATTATGAAATTCACCTGACAGTTTGGACCCGGACAAAATCGGAGTTGTGGATGGGACTTTACATGGTCTTTGAACATAAATTGTTGATAGCGTTCTCTTAAAGTCGGCTTAGTAACATGTGACAATACAAAGTCTTCAGGTGCTCTCACTTCACAATCTTGAGCCATACATTGTATAGTATTTGATACACCTAAAATAGAAATTTATTATTTTCCAAAGCCATGGTATTAAATTAAGTGCTTCACAATATGAATTATGTCTACTAGATATAATCTATTTCAGTTAAAAATCTAATTTAAAAGAAACACATAATTAAAAACATTATACAGATATTTGTGATTGAACACATCAATTTATAGCATCATTCATCAGTTTAGATGGAAAAACAATGAAAAAAAATGACAGCAGTATCCTTGAAAATTTTAAAAATAAAACTCGAACTAATTGATGTAGATCTATAAGTGTTCATCTCATAGAAAATCAAAATAAAAATAACAATGTGAATATGTACATCTGTATTTGTACTCTATGAAGTAGCTTGGTAGACCATAATGTCCTCATTTCTATTATTTTAAAATAGTAGGAGATTAATAATAATAATTGTAGATGATTATTACTATTATAATTTTAATTGTTGTTTATACCTTGCATTATTTGCACTTCAAAATGCATAGCCCAGCATTCATTGCAGAAGTAATGGCCACAAGCTAATGCACTGTACTTGTGTATGAGTGGAGAATTTGCACAAACAGCACAGTTTGTTCGTGAGTTGTTCACCTGGGCCTGAGATAGTCTAGGTTTTACACGACTGTATGTCAATACCTCATTTGCATTTTCCTTATACTTATTTATGATTTCTTGAGCATTCCATCCATAAGCATGCAACATCACCTATAACAATATTATTAATAAACAACAATGAAGGAATTAATTTAGGGTTAGGTAATTTTAATAATATGCATACAATACCTTGGCAAGTGAAGGCGTTATTTGAAGGCTATTGCTGAGCAATTCAATCGATTCATTTAATAATTTTTCTACTTCTTCTACTTTTAGACAAGAAAATAAAAAATATTCGGGATCTGATTTACTTCTATCAATAGTTTCCATGTCACAGTCATCTTGCCCACCGTAGTAATCGTAGTCATCACCATCGTTGTCCGAATATTCCATATCAGATTCCGCAGACATGTTTCTATTTATTTTGTTGTTTCAAGATGAGAACTGCATTCTAAAACAATACACAAATTTCGTAAAAAAATTACTCACTCAACCCTATATTTTTTTATATTACGAAAGAACCATAGCTGTTCTTATTAAAGCAATTTACTTACATTCAAGATTCACTAATTACAGGATTGTAAAATTGTAAATAAAACAATATTAAAAATAAGAAAATACGAGACTTGGATGGAATAAGTAAGCACAGATGTTAGAGTGAAATAGAGTGTAAGCTATAAATAATATTCTGTGCCGTAGTCGTTGCTTACTTTGAATGTCATTAATGACATCTGACAAAACATAGCTGTCACTTTTGTTTCTGACATCAACAAACAAACTACAAAGGTCACCTTGATAAAGTGTGCGATAGGTTTGAATTCAGTATTTTATAATTTATTGCAGTAGCTAATAGACGTAATTTTTAAATGGTTACGGAGTGCTATGAGATATTAAAATTCTTGTCTTTAGTAAGAGATTACTAAACTGGTGCAGTGTTACTTAAAAAAGATTGTGTTTAAATTTTTTAAGTTGTCCAGGAACTTTTTTGCCTAATAATGGACGGGACAACACAGAAATTCATAGAAAGAGGGTCCCATAAGGGGAAGGGCCTCGCTGTATTTACAAGCGGTGGTGATTCCCAAGGCATGAATGCTGCAGTACGTTCCGTAGTGCGTATGGGTATTTACTTGGGATGTAAGGTATACTTTATTCGGGAGGGTTACCAGGGCATGGTGGATGGTGGTGATAATATTGAAGAAGCAAACTGGTCTTCAGTAAGCTCTATCATTCACAAAGGTGGTACGATTATTGGATCAGCTCGGTGCATGGACTTCAAGTATGTTCATATGATATTATAAAACATTTTAATTTAAAAACTAGTATTTAAAATAAATAATGTTTGTCTTAGGTACAGTAACAGCTAAGTATTTATTTAAATTATTAAGGAAAATTTTGTATAGTAATGTCCTATATCTTAGTATACTGTCATGGTGTTGTCTGTTAAATTTTAATTATTTTTTTAGAGAAAGAGAAGGCCGTCTGAAAGCTGCTTATAATCTAGTGACTCGTGGTATTACGAATTTAGTAGTAATTGGAGGCGATGGTTCACTCACTGGTGCTAATCTCTTCAGACAGGAATGGTCAAGTCTGCTTGATGAGTTACTTAAAACCAATAAAATTACTAAAGATCAAAGAGAAAAGTATAAGCACTTGCATATTGCAGGAATGGTAATAACTGAATATTTACAATATTATTCTTGTCTGAGAAATAATGAAGTTTCCATGTGAATATATTATTTTAAATATAAGTAGTGTAAATGATAAATAAAATTTCACTAGTACTTTTGGAAAAATAATCTAAACAAGTAGTAATTATATTGTGTTAGACAGAATCGAAATAAAAGTGACTAACTTAAAAGTTAAATAATGAATGTAAATATTTATTATAATAGGGTTTATTGAATAATAAATAATTCAAACATTTTTATTATTTTCAGGTAGGATCTATTGACAATGATTTTTGTGGTACAGATATGACAATAGGAACTGACTCTGCTCTGCATCGTATCATTGAAGCCATAGATGCTATTGTAAGCACAGCATACTCCCATCAAAGGACATTCATTATGGAGGTCATGGGAAGACACTGCGGGTAAATAGTCATTTATATGCTGTTATTGCTTTAAAAAGTATAAATGCTTTTGTTGTTGGTAACTTTATTATGAGGTGACAATTGTAGGAAACAAGTCAATAAAACAATTATTAAAAGTTAATCCAAACTTATTGATTTAGATATCTAGCTGTGGTCACAGCCCTGGCATCTGAAGCGGATTTTGTTTTTATTCCTGAAGCACCACCTTCAGTTGACTGGAAAGATAAACTCTGTGATAAGTTAGAACAGGCAAGCTCATTTATTTAAGAATGACACCTTCCCTTTTTGTTTGCTCAAACCCAGTATGCACCACTTTCTACTCACTCTCTCTTCTACATCCTATAATTCAAATATCCTTTTAGTTTTCTTGCAGTTTACACCGCATTATGTACGGATGCTACTTATAGTTTTATTTGTGAAGATCCAGCGCCCCTCAATTGGAACCAAAAGTTGTGTGAAAAACTAATTGAGGCAAGGATTTTACCTTATCATATGGGAGCAGCATCACTAAATATTAACTTACCATTTCACTATTTTGCAATGGCAAATTTCATTGATATTATAGACAATTTAAAAAATTCCAGTGAAACTGTTCGTCATTTGGCTACATTTTTCACTATTGCTTTGAACTAAACATGGAAGCGACATGTGCATGTTCCATTATGTGGGGGTCACGCTTGTTGCAGTTATCTGGCATTAGTGGCTGCTCTGGCGAGCGAGGCAGACCAAGTTTTCATTCCTGAGGACCCTGTTCCCAATAATTGGGTTGAAAAGCTATGTAAACAGTTGCAACAGGTATGCATGGTTGACTGTAATATACTTTAACACATCATTTGTCTTTGGGAAAATATTGGTAGTTAAAATTTATATGGGGCCGAAATACTCCACATTTTATATACTTAAATTATGCACACATTGAATGTGGAATTTGTGAAGTCTGGTGATATGGATTTTGCTGCATACTCAGAACTACGTTAACTGTGTGTTGTTTGTATTATTTTTATCGTTTTGGTTCTTGCCTATACTAATTATAAATTGTAATTGAAAGTTTTTCTGTACTATAATTTTGTATGTGTTTTCTTAGTGTCAGGTATGTATGTGTATGAAACTAGATAAAAATAATATTCTATTTTCATACGTATCCCTCTAAGAAATAGGCAAAAAGAACTGAATGACTGAGTCTCATGTACATTATGCATAGGCATAATGTACATGAGACTCAGTCATTCAAAAAGAAAGAGGTAAGCAATAGTGCTTACCTCTTTCTTTTTCTACTTTCATAATATATTCGAATCTACATCTGCATCTCGTACATGTACGCTGGTTCCGAAGACTTTTCAATTAGATAAATGTATATTTTATTTGATCATAATGAAAAGTCTCGATCTCATTACCTGCATTATTCGAAATTCGAATTAAATACATCTTTTCAACCGGAATTATTTACACGTACGTGTTTGTACAACATTAGCATGTACCTCACACTAACTTTTTTAATTAATCTTGCATTGCTCAATTTATGATTCATTCGTTATGTTATCTTCAGACTTGCATACAATTACAATTTTATGTAACATTTACTTTCATGTTTATATTCACGTTTGCAAAGTTTCTCTATACTGTACTCTTTTCCAAGCACTAACCCTTTTTCTCTATTAATCTAAGCGCTCTATCTCCCACATTGTTAAATTAACATTAAAAACCTTTATTGTCCTTTACATAAAGAGCAGATTCGGTATCACCACTCAGTGAAAGATAACAAAATCAAGTCACTTAGCCCATAGTGGCAAATTTACCTGATTGTTCCGAGTGTAGGCAACCAATTACTATTTCCTTCTTAAAGTTTGGGTTAGGTAGAAGAAATAATTTGCATGTTCTATCTACATGATCTTGTTATATAATGTTGACTGCTAATTATTTTTATTATATATTATTTAGGAGAGGAAATCTGGTCAACGGTTGAATATCATCATCGTGGCGGAAGGAGCTATCGATCGTGAAGGAAAGCCCATAACAGCTGAACTGGTGAAGAAGGTGGTAGTGGATAATCTGCAACAAGACACACGCATCACGGTCCTAGGTCATGTGCAGCGTGGAGGATCTCCCTCTGCTTTTGATAGAATTCTGGTAAGGATATGCAATAATAAATTATATATCGTTTATAATTACGGCTTCCCTAAATTTTCCAACTCTAATTTACATGTCCATATCATATTATATTGTTAGTGTGTAATTTTTAGTTCCACAAAATTCGAGACATAAAAGTCGAGAAAGTAAATAATATAAATGGTGTCTAAAAAAAGCAATAATCGAGTTTTTGCTCATACTTCTCTCTGGGTGGTCATATTGAAAAATAAGAAGTCCACATATACCACATATCATATAATTATTATTGTTGCTAAGAATTTACTTTTTAAACAAATTCAATCTAACAACAGTTGACAACATAATTTGACAAATTCATTTACAGATGCCATGGCTCGACTGGCCAATAACTCATCATGAAAGTCTATTCAATTGCGCAAAAAATTAAATAAAAAAAATATAAAGATTTACTTTATAATTTGACATAAACTTTGTGTATTCTATACCTTTATGGAAATAAATTACATAAAGGGTTTATTACCATAAAACTACCATATTTTTCTTATTTTGTGTTCCTAGTGGCAATAGTTTGAATTATACGGTGATACAAATTACAGATATAATTTTCCTACATCATAACCCAATCGAAAGATTTTTTGATCTCTAAAATATAAATAAATATCAATCTCGAAATTATTTTATCTAAACAAAATCCGTTAATTGCCTGTAATTGTAACAGTTAATAAAATAAAATTAATGGTCAAATGGGAAAATTTCCGTACAGAGTTCAAGCTTATCTCTGGCTCGAAATTTATAACTATTAATAATAGGGTTGTCACATCTAGAAAAAAATATAAAGAAATAATGTTACTTTAATTAGATTTAAATATTTGTGTAAATAAGTTTATAAGGATACAATTGAGTTACAGCATATAATGCTCAATGTGTTTTGCAACATTGCAGAACAATGCAACAAATACTAATTGCATAATATGTTCCTGGATAACAAAATACGCATATAGTTGTGGGGTCGGTAGCAATATACAATAAAATAGACCCTCACCAACAATAAGTGTATTAAGGAAGATTACATAAAAAATATATCCCATTTTCCCACAATATGTCAAACAGACCACGGCGTATGCAGATGTATGTCCATCCACGAGTAATCACGCGCACGCTCTTGTGCCATGTACCTGTAGAACTTGAACTATGTTCAAGTATTCGGGTATTCTCCATATGTATATCGTGTATGAGATATTAACATTTGGACAGATTACCAGTCATAACAAATTTATAACAGTCGTCATGTAATTACATATCCAAAAAAATGTGTCTAATTAAATAATTTTGATAATAAGGTCACGGGGCCAATAAAATAAATAAACTGAACTGACCTTTATGTTTATGTAAATAATGAAACTACATAATAATTAGTACTAACGGCTTTAATTTTTTTTTTAAATTGGTATAATAATATACGATTAGTTTAATATTCTAAATCCTTCTTTTTGGAGTTTTATAGATCTCTCATGTTGATTGCGGTAACATAGAAACTTCAGTGGCGAATACTAAATCATACTAATTAATCATGTTGCGGTTTGTTTAAAGCTGATTATTCTGTTATCAAACCTTTAATTTTATCTACTTTATACTTAAGGCACAACCCTAGCGAAATTGATAATTTGTGATAGAGGCTTGGATTCTATAAAGATATCATGACTTAAATAGTTTAGTACACCTAATTACTAATATAGGAAATGTAAACATAACCATTTTTGTCTGTCAGTATGCTGTAACGATTTGCATTTAACTTGTAGCACTGTTAAAATTCTTTATTAGACACTTTTTATACACAAAAATATATAAGATTCTTAATATTAAAATATATACAATATAAGCACTATAACAGTATGCGGCCAGTACGTTAGCAACAAACAGAATATCTTGAATCCTGCAGACGAATAGTAAATAGGTACTTGTTCTCACACAGGGTGGCCCAGAAGTCACTTTACATTTTGAAAATTAAATAACTTTTTTTCTATTAATATATATTTTTTTCTCTTTTCAGAATTAAAAAATATAATCCCTGGAAATTTTTATCATGGATAAGTTAACAACAGAACAGCGAGTGAACATAATTGAATTTTACTTTGAAAATGGATGGTCAATTGTTGCAACGCAAAGATCGTATATGCGCCATTTTAATGTTCGACAAGCTCTCTGAAACCTGACAGCATAATTTACTAATTTCTGAAAGTCTGCTGGTTTTAAAAATTGCACTATTTGAACCTTGTAAGGGTACATGTGCAAGTCTCTTTGAATGCGCTGCAGAGAACTCCGTGAGATGCTAAGTTCTTGACAACGCCTTCGAGTGGATATGGTTGGGTTTTCTTCAATGCTACGGCTCACAGCTTCAGTACTTTCACGTGTACGTACTGAAAGACATCGTCCACTTCTAGTCCTATCACTTACAGAGCCATGCTGTTGAAAACGCTTCACTAAGTTCCTTATTGCAGCCCTACTAGGGGGATGTCGAACATTAAAATGGCGCATATACGAACTTTGCGTTGCAACAATTGACCATCCATTTTCAAAGTAAAATTCAATTATCTTCACTCGTTGTTCTATTGTAAACTTATCCATGATAAAATTTTCCAGGGATTATATTGTTTAATTCTGAAAAGAGAAAAAGAAATATATTAATAGTAAAAAAGTTATTTAATTTTCAAAATGTAAAGTGACTTATGGGCCACACTGTACAATTGAATGTAGTGTTTGGTTTCTTCAATGTCCTGGCGAGAAACATTTTATATATTTTCCTCTCATCATATTGAATTTTAATAATAGTATCAGACTACAAATATAATGGCATAGTACTAATAAAACAAAGGAATAATATTATTAATATACTATTTCGGGTCTTCAAACTTCTCCTGACGTTTCAACAGTTTCGAAAGTTAAAAAATAAGATAAAAAAAACGCATGCTTGCAGAAAAAATAACTAAACCGTATATGTAATGAGTAGGACATGAAAGGGTTAATTACAATAGTTATTACAGATGTACATAGAGCCTAATTGTATTTTGATAATGTCTTTAGAAGTCACAAGCAATAAATATCGGTTTCATATAAGTATATCGGTTTCATATCGATTTAAAAACAATAACGATCGCACTATATATCAACCTGCAGATTTGCTCACTTCAAAGATTGAGATAATGTTTTATACATTTATTTTTTATGAAACCTAATACGGGTACAATCGTTGCTACGGGGTTTTAGTAATTATTATACAAATGTAATGTACCTAATACTAATTCTATTTCAGGGTTGTCGTATGGGTGCTGAGGCAGTAATGGCACTGATGGAAGCAACTCCAGAAACTGAACCTTGTGTGGTGTCCCTTGATGGCAATCAAGCCGTGCGGCTGCCGCTTATGGAATGTGTGCGACGCACTAAAGCTGTTGCTCAAGTAAACAAATTACAGATTACCCCTATTATCGATTATTATAAATTATATCTTATTAATAGAAACAAAAAAAACGTAGATGTCATTTATTATTTGTTGTAAAACTTAAGTTATATATCTAACGAATTTAGATGAAATCTAACCCATTCTGTATAAATTATTAATAATTTAAGCGAATTAATTTAATAACATGACTACAATTTTTTAGCAGAATGTTTTAGTTTTCAAGTCTGTTATGATATATATATATATGCAATTTGTAACACTATTAATGAATGTTATATTAGGCTATGGCAGATAAAAACTGGGATTTAGCAGTGCAATTGCGCGGGCGCAGTTTTGCTCGTAATTTGGAAACCTACAAGATGTTAACTCGATTGAAGCCGCCAAAAGAAGCCTTCGACGAATCCGGAAAGCCTTCCGTAAGTAGTTAAAATATATCAATAAAATATATATAACATATAAATAAAAAATTGATAAGACTGTTATTGCTGTGTTATAGGTTTTATACAATTATAAAAACATGTTTACGAAAAGTAATCAGTATTATACAAAAAAATTGGTGTGTTTTTACAATACTTTTTATTAATGTAATATGACCTTTATCTTCTGGGTAATAGTGAACGACGTTTTAATGCTGTGACATACTTACTTCCGTTATTTTTAATTATAAATTAGAATAATTATCAGTATTATTAATTAGAATCGAAATATGTAATAAAAAATATCCTTATATACAAACTGCAACCATACGTGGTCACGTGATTTATGAAATATATAATAATAAACTTTTTATTATTTTACTAATTGAGAACAAACCTTGAAGAATAGATTTTGATGCAATATATAATGAACTGATGTAACCTTGTCTCAATAAGGAGTCGTCTCAATTATAATAAACAAAAAAATAAATAAAACTGAATTAACAATGTACAACTTTTTATTATTTTCCCAATTAAAAAAAGATAAAATATCAAAAATTATTTTTTATTTCGCGCTATATAGATTTGAGAAAGAAATGCTGCCGTTTTACTTTACTTTATATAACCCAGGAGGGCTATACATTGGCGGTGATGCACGTTGGAGCGCCTGCATGCGGTATGAACGCAGCAGTGCGCTCGTTCGTACGAAACTGCATCTACCGCGGCGACACCGTGCTGGGTATACATGATGGCATCGAGGGATTAGTCAGCGGCAACATTGTCAAGATGGATTGGTAAGGAATAAATATATTGTAATAGTATAAATTCCAAAAGTGTGCCTGTCTGTCTGTATATCTTATTATGACTAAATGGACGGATCCTAATGATCTTTGAAGTGAAGATAGATCGCAGCATATGAAGACGGGCTAACTTCTGTCTCGAAAGCTGGTATATGAATAGGGGATGAATGTTTGTGCAAAACAGTGACTGTCTATAGATTTGACAGACAGTCATATTTTTGGCTTTTGGCTCATGGTTATATGGCTGAACGGATCATATTATTTGATGTGAACCGTTAATTTGCAGTTTGACTGTAGACATAACATGATATAGACAGAGACACCTACATAAGCTATTATACTTTGTTCACTGTCTCCAATGCTTTTTCAGTATACATATACATCTTATATCTATAGGTATACTTAAATATATCTAATAAGGTTTTTAAGGGTCGGCAATGCGCAAATGATACCCCTGGTGTTTCAGGTGTCCATAGGCTACGGTAACCATTTACCATCAGATGGGCCGTATGCTTGTTTGCCACCATCGTAGTACAAAAAAAATCTGTAAGGCATTCATGAAGTACCTATTATATATCGAACTGTACTAAATACTTCAATAATTAAAATACCTCTTTATCGTCATTGTGTGCGAGTGAATTTTCTATTGCACTTCATTGCTTTTAAAGTAGTGCTTTGTTATGCATTGTTAACACTATCTGTTTTTATCGGTCATTTTACATATCTATAGTACTGAAGTGTTAATAATCATATTTAACACTATTCATATAATAGAATTTATAAATATTTCTTAGAATGTCTAGACCTTCTTATGGTAGTTTAGGTTATTACTCGTAGATATCATTAAGATTTTTGTTCTTTATGCATTGTGTAACACTTTATTTTTTATCGATAATTTTACATATCTCTAGTATTTAAGTATTAACAATCATATTTAATATTGTTTATTATCTACGTGATTTAAATATATTTCTGGGAACGTCTGGGTCATTCAAATTGTTATATTTATCAGGTCTGATGTAACTGGTTGGGTCGCTCAAGGCGGAGCATTCTTAGGCACGAAACGAACATTACCAGGAGACAAGAAGAAAGAAATAGCTGCACGCATCAAGCAGTTCAATATTCAAGGACTCCTCATTATTGGTGGCTTTGAGGTTTCTGCAAATATATTTCATTTTCAGCACTTTTATATATAAAAATCTAAACTAAGCATTCCAAACGTAGGCTCCCATATTAAGTACAATTCCATCCCGCGATGTTAGCCTGGTATTTGGAACTTTTCAGTATCGACCAAATACGTATTCTATAGGATTACGTGGGTACATATGGCATATTCCGGAATATCCATATTAAGAATAGCAATATGTGATGGATATTATATGCAATCATCCACGAAATGTAGTACACATTATGTGGATATATTCATTTATATGTATAGGCGACAGTCAACATTTTCTATCAGGTGGGCTGTTTTTTTTTATGGATGATAATGATATACTGTGCCCGCCTGCGTTAACAGTTTACGCTGGCGGGGCACCAGTAGAAGATGATAAGATGAACATGAGCTCAAGTAAGTTAGTCCATCGGGACAAGTACACCAGGAATTTATTACGAAGGTTTCCAGGTGAAACCGCATGGTCAATCTGACATGGTGCATAGCTAGAAATGGGGTCATCAGTCCACATTTCTAACAATACCCATTTCCCCAACGCTGTTAGCGTCTTTAAAATTTTAATTATATTAAAACATGAGTAATTTGAACTTTTTGCATACATGCCGGAAATTCTATAATACAATAGCCAAAATTCTGAACCTATGCAAAAAGTTAAAATTGTCATTAAATATATGTCATAGAATGAACACTGAGGTGTGAGGAACACAATTATTACTTCTTTTTATTGATTTTAGAATATTTGTGCATTCATATTTGTAGTAAATGAATATTTATTATTGTTAAACTTTAGGCTTATCAAGCTGGTTTAGAACTATACGAATCCCGAAGCCAGTTCGCCGAGTTCTGCATCCCGTTGGTGATCATTCCCTCTACGATCAGCAACAATGTACCCGGCACCGATTTCTCTCTTGGCGCTGATACCGCTCTCAACGAGATTACTGAAATTTGCGACCGAATCCGGCAGTCTGCCCAGGTATGTTCTTGTTTATACTTTTTTATGAACGATAATAGTAATTTGTAATGTTTTTTTTTAAACTGGCCTGTTTTCTTAATGTATTAGGTTTTGTCATAATAGAATTAGATAATTAGCATTGAATTGAATACCACTAAGACAGACTTGAGTACCTACATTAAAAGATAATTTTTGACGTCACATACATTTATTGACATATATTTTTTGTATGAAATGTATGTACCTACATTAAAATATAATTTTTTAAATGTATGAGATGTATGAAAGAAATGTATGTACTATTTTCTCTAAAAGATAATTTTTGAATGAAATGTTTGTGTGTATAAAATAAACATCATACCACAGAGTCATACGCACGTTAAAAACAAACTGCTATGATATATTAATGAGAAAGGAAAATCAACTTTATGGTATTCGAGTTATCGATTTCTCTCTTTTTTAAATACTATTTTAATCTTACCAGTTGCCAGTATTCGAAGACAGCTACGATTCGTACTCGATATTTTAAATTATTATGTAATCGATTATTCAGTACAAATGTAAATAACCAACGACACTAATAATGTACTACTATATTCCGTTCTTTGAAACAACACTGCTATAATACATAATAATGAAAATTTACTGTTCACAACGACTCATTAAAAGCATCATCGAATAATGCGCTGTAATAAAATCCTGTTATCGATTATAAAAAAAAATCGATAATACATGTATTTATTTTTAATATGACAACACTTCATACATAAGTATTATTGGAAATAGTATTATTTGTTGTTCGGCTATTTTTAATTTACTTAAAAATTTTTTATATGTTTAATTTACAATAATAATATATTAAGTGCTTATTATTGGAAAATATAAAAAAGACATTTATTCATACAAATGACGACAATGCCATCTATGAAAGCATTTTGAAAACATTGAGCCCCATATTAGCACTGATTAAAGTGTAATTAAGTACCAAAATGAATAAATATATAAACATTACTTTTCTAAACGCATTATTTCATTTTAACATGTATATATAACTTTTTAAAAATTGATTAAACATTTTTGAAAACTCATCTGTTTTTTAAAACGTTTGCAAAACTATGAAGAATTCCATCGATACCAATCACGTCTATTTCAATAATAATGGCTACTTCCTCATTGAGTGCCACTGCTTGTAGTAAAGTATTTCCAAGCTTAAAAAAATGTCTTAAAGAAGTCAATGTCCAGCTTGGGCATATAGTAGTGTTATTTCACCTTTTTGCTTGGCTTGGCAAAAAGAAATAGAATAGAATGCGAGAAAGACAAATAAATTGCGAAGTGCTCTGTTACCAAGGAGGTCAACGAAAAGAATACGCTGATGCCATTCTAAAAACCACGACCACTGTCAGTAGTGTACGCCTAAAAAAGTGATAGTTTATATAGAGATGGAGTGCAGAAGGCAATTTTTTTTACATTACAAAAAAAATAAGTCTCATTATTATTTTATTTGCGTCTGTTACAGGGAACTAAACGTCGTGTTTTCGTTATTGAAACTATGGGAGGGTACTGTGGTTATTTGGCTACTTTAGCAGGTATACAATTTGTGAAACATTATATTTGCTTCAAGTTTATTGTATCGTATGATTATAGGTATATATAAAATACGTGTATTTGTTCAGGTTTAGCTGGAGGCGCTGACGCAGCATACATATATGAAGAAAAGTTTTCAATCCAAGATTTACAGCAGGATCTGTATCACATGGCGTCGAAGATGACTGGCGGTATACAGCGGGGACTTATTTTGAGGAATGAGAAGGCCAATGATAATTACAACACAGACTTCATATACCGCTTGTACTCTGAAGAGGGCAAGGGATTATTCACAGCCAGAATGAATGTACTAGGTAAGTTGACAATTCCAAGAAGCTGACTGGCGTCAAATTTTCTCATTCTATATTTAAAGAAAGAAACCTAAAACTTAATGAATTGCACCTTATTAAAATTACGCATTTTCAGTAAAATAAACTCTGAGAGTTTGCGTAAGAAATTGTTTCAAAAGAAAATTTTGATTCACTTTTAATTTATACACTTTATATCCTAATGAAGAAACTCATGGCATGACAATTTAACTTCTCTCTGCTAATGTTTTTTTAGTTTTACCATTTTTAACTCAGCTGTATGCAACCGCCTATTATTCGCCTACTACTTTATAGGACATTATTCAAATTCATTAAAGACAGACATTCCAATTATCAATTCAACTATAATTATACATATACATACTCAGGAAAGTTTAATCAACGTTTTGATATAAATATTATTTTACAGTATATATTATACTGTATACCTATTAATATTTCAATAAAATTTGTATCCTTAAATGAAATAGTATGGAATTACATTCTTATTAAATGAAACACGTTAACACGTTCACTACCACTTAATTCAGTCTATGTGAATTCACTCGTTTATGGTGGAGCCTAATTTGTCCCTTATGTGCCAATAATATATAGGGAGTCGTATAAAATTTGATAAAATTCGGTGAGTATACACATGATACGGATAAAGTGGCACAAATAATGGACTCTTTCATTTTTATCTCTATTATCGTAATAGATAAACCCATATGTTGGGATTATAAAAATGTAAATGATTAGAACTTTAAAATATACCTTGAACATATTACAGGGTTAATTTGAGATTATGAATATTAAAAACATTATTTTTTATGTGTAATCGTTAACCATATGTTTATACGTCGGTCAGATAATACTAGATGTTTCCGCGACATAGTCATTATAATAACAATTTAAAAATATCAGTGTAATAGTTTTTCTTTCTTCAGTTAAAGCAATTATATGAGTTGTTTTCTTCATACGGGTGTACTATAGAGTCAAAAATACATACGAATTATGGAAACCCTACGACAAATTTGTACGAACAATTTTAATAAAACTTCAATATTTTGTTGATATTCGTTTAATCATTCTCTCGAGAGATATCACACAAACAAAATATGAAAAGTCTAAATAAATAAAATTTAAACCATATAGAATAGCAGAATAATTAACTATATTGTTTATATATACATATATAGAATTGTTTTTGTTCGCCGTGAAGAACCAAAAGTCCTTTTGCATGTAAATAAATAAATTTATTTAATAATTCAGAATAAACATTAGTTCAATCAGTTTAGAATGAACTACTGGGGTATTGTACTTCATTAATGATGTTTTTACATTATAATATACATTGATTTTTAAATAATAAGGCTACTGTTACTCCAGGTGGTGTAGTCAATTGTGTTGTCAACTGATTGTGTTAATTTAAAAACATTGTTTTACAAAAAAAATGCTCTTATGCAACATGTAATGTCAATTACAGGTCACATGCAGCAAGGTGGTTCACCATCGCCCTTCGACCGCAATATGGGCACCAAATTGGCGGCAAAGTGCCTTCATTGGCTTGTTGAAACATTACAGAAGGGTCCGGCCAATACGCCCGAATCTGCCTGCTTGCTGGGTGTTGTCAAACGGCAATACAAATTCACACCTCTCGAAGAACTCAAAACCCAGACTAACTTTGCGTATGATTGCTTTTATTCTCGATTTCTTTTTTATATGTAACTCTGTATTAACCTGAAATTCAACCTAATTTGATTGCTTACGACTTCGCTAGTGCATGACCGTAATTTTCGGTGTTATCTATAATATATAAAGCTTAATTCTTCTAGAGTCGTAGCAATAGGCTAGTACTATCCTTTACACTGGTGAGTTCAATTCTTACCGACAGAAAATTGTGTTAATTTATATTTCTAACTGATTCTTCCAATAATAATAAGCCAAATTAATCCGAGATCCGACGATAGAGAACGAAAGTTAACAAAGTGATGAATACTAGTCTGGAATAACAGTTGTGAATGTATACTATTTTATTGTATGTTAGTTCCCTTGAATTGATTTATCAATATTCTTGTTATTCATATATTGATAATACTAGCGAATCTTACCTCTGTTCTGTCCATTATAATCACAGTAGCTTTTATTCTTTCTTATATCTGATGATACACATTACTACAGTAATATATTTTTACAGACAAAGAATTGCCAAGCAGCAATGGTGGATGAAGCTTCGTCCGTTGCTGCGTATCCTCGCCAAACACGATTCCACATACCAAGAAGAGGGCTTGTACATGACGGTTGAACAAGGCGAAATCGATTCCGATAATGTTATATAAATACTCAATGGAAAATGATCTGTGGCTTATATTTAGAATATTATTAATCTATTCACATGCAAAGCAATTTATTTCTTATAAGTATATTTTTTGATATTGCAAAGAAACAATTTCTAAATAATTATACAATTTACACAACATACATTTAGCTGTACAGTAAATACAGATTACAGATTACTATATTTAGCCTAGATTTGCATGTAAAATTGACTATAAATTAACTAACTTCAACAAACAAAAGTGTGTAAAGTGCCATTGCTGGTTAAAAACAAATTGGCAGTATAGTGTAATGTTATTTCATTATATTTTTAATTCGTGACATTAAATTATTAGCATGTTAGACTACATAACACGGGGGTGAAAAATATAAAATTAATAAAAAAAACTAGGGGCTATAGAAAGATGTTTACTTTAAGTAATAGACATAATGCATACATTTCTTTTAAAATATATAAGAAAAATATAAAATATGTAGGTAAACAATGGTGAATTAATATTAGCTATTTAGACTGTATTACCTATTAAACTAATTTATTATCTTAGGTTTTTATATTAATTAGGTGTCATGTATAGTATTATAGATGTTTAATATGAAAAAATTATGTCTTATTTCGTATGCAGGCAGCAAATGTAGCTTACATAAATATTATAAATTATTTTCTAGCAAATGTAAAAATTCTGACATTTATTTATAAACAGGTATTGAAAATGTATTTATTTCATGTATACATACGATTTTTATATATATTTTTTATATAATATATTATACAAATTGCGGAAATAAACATTATGTTGCCTTACTACTATTTTTTTATTTATTCTTTAGAAAGATTATTGTTGATAACGAGAATGAAGTGAAATTCCTGATAATCTCCTTTCAAGCCGAAAGGTTGAAATTAGGGTTCATTTCACGGGAAATTCATAGGTTTTGTTCCCGGGAAATCAAGCTCGAGAAAAGTCGAGAACTCGAGAAATCATGTACCTATATAGAAATTAAATTGCCCTTTGTTTTGTTGCGTGGCGGCGCAGTAATTTAAGATATTAACGTTTTTGTTTTCTTTCATGTTATTTTTTTATTTTATAGAAACTATTTTTGTTTACGTTGTTTTTTTTCTAAATAAGCAGCCAAAAATGGTGCTGTCATTATAAATATAAGTCTGAATAATTAGGTCCTAAAAAATTGAAATTTGCGTTTTGTAAGGGAATAACCTGAAGTATTTTTTTCAAAATATAATATATTTATTTAATCAAAGTATGTACCATTTCTATTTATGCACTTTTGCCTTTTGTTTTTGCACTTTGGACTGCCCCATCGAAGTTTAATTTTTTCCCTTGCAAGAAGTTATCCAAATTTCCAAAAAAATGGTAATCTATTGGAGCAAGGTCCGGGAAGTACGGTAGTTGTCTTAGACATTCCAATTGAAGCTCTTCTAATTTGGTAACTGTCTGTTGTGCAGTATGTGGTCAAGCGTTCTTGGCGATTGACCAGCCTCGGTTGTTTAGCAGCTAGCTTTTCCATCATGGTTTCTCAATTGCTGACAATACACATTTGCCGTAATCGTCTGGCCAGATTTAAGAAAGCCGAAGTGAACAACACCGGAAATAGTCCACCAAAGGTTTACAAGTAACATTTTTTGAGCCAATTTTCGCTTGGGGCAGGATTTGGTTTGTTCGGTTTAGCTATTCCAATGAGCGTTTCCGATTATCGTACAAGATTCACTTTCCATCACAGGAAATTATTTGATTTAAAATCCCTTCATTATTATGCCGATTGATTAATATAACGCAGCAGGCTACGCGCGTTTGTCGATGTACTCCATTGAATTCATGAGGGACCCACTTATCAAGCTTTTTCACCTTCCCAATTTGCTAAAGGATTAAAACAGTTTTGTCAGTAACAACGACTGCAGCTAACTCGAACGGGTTTGCGATGGATCCGCTTCCACAATAGCCTTCAATTCTTCATTATCAACCTTGGATTCCGGCCGCCCACGGAGATTGCTTTGCAGGTCGAAATTTCCAGAACGAATACGTTGGAACTAAAAATGCACGTGTTTTCTTTTGCGAGACCACTGCCATATACATCATTAATACTTCGAGCCGTTTAGCACCGTGTAGCACTGGCGTCACAGCGGAACTCGTACTCGTAAATAACGCGATACTTTAAGTTTTTTCATTTTGTATGCTGTGAGTGACCCAAAGTAAATAGCTGTATAAATTTGGAAATGACCACTGAATTTTTTGACGTTATTGGAACCAAATAATATGAGAAAACGTACGTAAATGTAAATTTCTCGACAACCCGAGAAGACCCGAGAAATTGACCTCGAGAATTCTCGAGACCCGAGAAATTGAAAAGCTCGAGAAATCATGAACCCTAGTTGAAATGTCTTACAAATGTAATATGTTTGGCTATTTGTATGTATTTACCGCAAAGCAATGAGTAATTAGTAATTTTAATTCTACCGTCAATTATGTATAGTATATATAATTATACTATATATATATACAGTATATATAATGGGCTGTACACAGATTTTATATATTTATTATATTAGATATTACATCTAAGCAGAGAACACAGCGCCATCTAGTACCAAGTTAAGTAGAGATTGTATTGTAGATATCATACAACTGATATAAATACATCGTTTTTCTTTTAAATATATTATATACTAGCTAGCCCGGTTTCGCACAGTTGTACATGTATTACATATAAACCTTCCTCTTGAATCACTCTATCTGTTTAAAAAACCACTTCAAAATCCGTTGTGTAGTTTTAAAGATTTTACAATACATAGAGACGATCATACAGCGACAGTGACTTTGTTTTATACTATGTAATGATATATAGAAAATACCTAGACCAATGCAAACAATCATACACATAAATACAAATTAAAGTACCGCGCGAGGAATCAAACCCGCATCCATCAGAAGTAAGGCGGTGTGATAAACTGTTAGACCACCGAAGCTGCCATTATTATGTAATAAGTATGACAATGGAATATAGGGGATTGTCTTTAATGGGAATTAATTGGCTCATTGCTAGCAATGTGACAGGTCTGGTTACTTCACGAGGTTTCCTCAGGAAATGTTTGGTGAATTCTCCATGATGGGCTATAATTTTTTTATCCTTCACTGTGACCTACCAGTGTACCAATACTGTTAAAAATAGCGGTGCACCATTCATTCACATAACCAAATCAACTAATTAGAGTGAATGCAGAAATTATTTGAAGCAAAGTTTTGTGAAAAAGGAATACCATTTTATTTTTTTTATTCCATATAGTTGGAAACAAAATCCATACTAAAAATGAGATCCGGCGATAAGAGATTATGTCCCTTTCGCACAGTTGCCAGTATAAGAATCAAAATAAGACCTTGAAAATAAGATTCAACGATATTTCACATGTGAATTATAAATATTTTTTCGTAACAAAAGGATTACTTACGAAATATAAATTAGTCAATAAATGTCAAGAACTTATTTTTTACTATTGCATTGATTCAGCCAATGTCTCTTGATTAGAATATTATTGCCTGTATGTTAATAAAAAAAACTAAGCTAATTATTACTTTTCTGTAAAAAAATGTTCCAATTTTCATAAACGTATTTTGGACAAAAGTAATTTATCAACAGTCTATGATTTTGTTTAAATATATATGTTGTTTAAAAATAATATAATGTTTGTTGGCATTTCCGGTTGCCAACACAACAACAAACGCAGCTTTCATTCGGGGTGGCGGGCATTATGGTCCAAGTGGGGGGTTTTGACGTTTGACCGCGTAGCAGTGAAAGTGTCACGTCGTTCAGTGTTTTGTCAGAAATATTTTGTTTTAATTTAAAATTCTTATTGACTTTGAATTGGTGCGATTTTTTATTGTTTTTTATTTTTTAATATTAATTATTAATGGTTCCTAATTTATAAAACACACATTTTGATCAGGAATTCCTGTAATAACTAGTAATAAACTTTCAGATATAGGTTATTGCCGGGATAATGGGTGTAAAACCTGCAATTGGAAGGAAATCTAACAAGAACCCTCCAATTTTTAGTCATGACTTCGTAATTCAGAACCATGCCGACATAGTTTCATGTGTAGTTATGTTGTTTTTGGTCGGACTGATGGTACAGGTACGTATTCAAAGAATGCCACGTAGACCAAATTATATTGTTATTTTGTCCTACTGGTACAAATATCGAGTGAATTAATAATGAAATTTCCTTGTTTCAATATAGTCGACAAGTCCAATAGCAAGTTTATTCATCAGTCTTCATCATAACGTCAGTGGCGTCGAACCAACACGAGAATCTCCGAAAGGGGAACCCTTTTTCTATGAAGCTGGATGGAAAGATGCGTGTGCAGTATTCTTTTACTCACTTGTCTGTATTGTGATGCATGCAATTCTGCAAGAGTATTTCTTAGATGTAAGTATTCACTTTAATATGTCACAACAAAATAGGCCTATATTCTGTATTGCACTAGCATTTACAAAGTTCTAGTGTTGAAAGTTCTGTGTGTATGTTAAACTTATATTATTTTACAATATGAACATTAATTTGTGTGTTTCAATAGTTTTGGACTTAACTTACTTTCTTGGGAGCATATTGCTAGGTTGTATTGAGTGTGTTGTTTTAAGTTGTTCACATGTAGAAATATACATATTACGCAATATAAATAAGCTTATTTTACCTAAATGCCGTCTGCACAAAATCAGTAATTCATTCTATGGTAATTGCATAAGATTTTATAATAAACTGCCAGAATCTGCATTAAATCTGACAGAGAGGCAATTCAAATCTTATATTAAACAATTTTTATGTAAGAAAGCCTATTACAGGATAGACGAATTCATAGATGACAACATATCAAGTAAATAATTAGTTTATTAGCATACAACGTTATAATTTTATTTTCTTATTGCTTTCTTGATTTAATTGATTGATTTTAGAAATATGAAAGCGTAGCGGTTTTTGTATTAATTGCATTCTTATGTAAAATGTGAATACTATAACTATCAGATGGCAATTGTGAGTAGCTTTGACGTGGTCTAGTGTTTTGAGTAGTCATGCTCACTGAAATGTCCAGACTTGTGGCGGCGTGGTGGGCCGGGTCATTGGGCTCCCTAAAATATGGTCGAGCGCAGTGATGGCTGGCTCATACGTCATACTCGTGAACGGGTGCTGCTTGTAGGGACTGGTCTGCTCTAATCACTATGACTGATTTCCTCGTATTAATTGTTTAACCAGTTGGTTATGTATTCAATATTTTTTCTTTTTGAGTATTTAATTGAATTAGTGCTAATTGGTGGTTTGTATTCACACACTTAAACTTAAAAATGTAAAGTAATAATAAAATTATTTAAAAGAGCAACACGCAAGTTTCTTGCTCGTTCTTCTTGTGATGAGACAGCTTTCCGAATGAGCGGTAGATTAAAAAAAATGTAATGACTATTCAAAAGTGCTTCAATGTAAGTTTATTTGAATAAATGATTTTCTATTCTATTCTATTCTATTTTAGCCACTTTTTTTATTCAGCAAGCTTGATTAGGCAATAAGACCAGGCAACTACTATTAACTTACTTTTAAATAAATCTGCTATTATTATTATTATTATTATTTATTTGTCTTATAAAATATAGAAAAATATTTCAGAAAATATCAAAGAAATTCCACCTTTCAAAATCAAGACTGAGCGCTCTGAATGAATCTGGGCAGTTGGTTGTTTTCCACCTGGTAACTCTGCTCTGGGGAGGTGATGCTATCCTACGGGAAGGGTTCATTTTCAACATATCACAATTGTGGGACCGTGAGTATTATTATTGTTTTTATATGTAATTGTAATGTCAAAGCTGATGATAAATGGTGCCAGCCACATATATACATGAATAGCACAACTGACATAGGATATCTGTGGTATCTGTAGTGTATTGCCATTCCAGAAGACTTAAGATGTCATGCATCTGTATACTGCAGTATACACCCATTAACCATAATACAATTTACAATACAAACTGCAGTCTGAAACAGAGATGGAGGTATCATACCCTCACAGATATATAGATGATTATTGCCTATTAAGATTATTACGATTGCTTTTTATACAAATGTTCTTAAATGCCAATTCATACATAATTATCTCCATTACCAAGGTTGTCTTGAAACAATGTACTTCGCAATGAAATTATTTTGTTACACCTGTGTAAACTTTGCTTGAATATATATTTGATATTTTAATTAATTTATGTACTATAAATATAGTATATGTCTATCCATAAGTATAAACCATTGTTTGTAATGTTTAGGTTATCCTGATCACCCTATGAGTTTCTTGCTGAAGCTATGGTGGATTGTCCAAGCTGCTTACTGGATACACACCATCCCCGAGTTATACTTTCAGCGCATTAAGAAAGATGAGTGGGCAGGTCGTATCAGGCATGCTGCAGGAGCCTTTGCTTTTATAGCTTTGGCTTATGGGTTCAAGTAAGTAGACATGCATAGACTAACTTGTAATATGAATTTTCTGTTCATGACTATATTGGCCAAAATAATACTTAAAAGGATTATAACAAAATTATAATATTTAATTATTCTGAAAATTACTGATGTTAAACTATTTCTATTCATTCTATTTTATAATTAGAAATCTATTTTATGATTAGAAATCTATTTTATGATTAAAAATTATTTTGTAGTAAAAAATCCTTTGAATGAAAACTGAGTTGTAATTGTGAACTATTTTTCATTTGATGATTTCATTTAATAATTACTATTTTCGTATATAATTAGGCATTGAGTATAGTGTAGGATATTTATGTGTATGGAAAAAATATATATTGCATACTATTAATTACCTTTGCACATTATAGGTTCCAGCGAGTGGGAGTATCTTTAGTGGTATTGCACTCATTGGCGGAATTTGTGGCACACATTCATCGTCTAAACACCATTCTCAGAGGGGAGCGGGAAGACTTTTTAGATAAATGTGAGCTAACTCCTATTTAAAGGAACATATACTTTTCTTTCATTCTTATTCTTCTGGTCCATTACTATTTCTGTCAGTTGACAGCATGCATAAATTGAATATTTAATTAGAGATTTCCTCTTTAAAACTAATACTACAAGACAGAATTTAAATTAGAATTTGTACTAACTACCCCAATACAGCTGGTGATATATTGGTGATATTTCAATAACATTTGAAAATTTTACATTATTATTAGACAAATTTACTGTGCTTATTAACAGTGAATTCATCCCATAATGATGATAATAAATCAAGAGATTTTACAGTAAACAAATAAAATTTCGTATGTCAATTTAGTATGAGTTTAAAAAACAGACTATAATATATTAATTTAACATTTCAGTTGTAAGCTTGGTGAATGGCAGCGTGTTTGTGAGTGTGCGTTTGTGCTCGCTGGTGTTGGGAGTGCTAACGTTTTACTTCGGACTCGCCGGTGCCGCGCCGTTGCTGCTTCGCGTCGGTGCACTCTCTCTTCTGGTTTCATTCCAAGTAAGATACGCTTTTCAATTGTATACTAGATGTGCTTGTGACTTCGTACACATGAAATCCTTTTTTTGTGTACCAATTATTGAAATTAAATAAACACTGAAACATAATTAATGAGAAGCTTGCTATATACATTACATTAATGAAAATCACATTTCATTTCATTAAACTCTTTCTGAGATTAACGTACACAAACTCACAGATAAAAACACATATTCTAAATACTATTATCTTTATCAGGGAAACATAAATGCTCATGGTTCAATCCTTTAATATCTTTTGACAGAAGATAACAATTTTATGGTTGGCGCAATTTTATCTGTCACAAGATACGGAATAATTTCTCATTAAAGGTTCACATTAATTACACGAAATTATTTTCAGGTGTACTTAATGTACAATTTCATATCTGATGCGATAAAACAGAGAGAAGAGTCAAGTCAGGCTGCACAGAGTAAGCCTAAAAAAGAGAAGAAAGAGAAACCTAAAAAAGAGAAAGGTACATATTTGTATTTACCTATGAATGATGAGTATGTGTATGAATATAATTGAGATTATTATATATATACATATAAACTTTTTAGATTTGCATACACTATAATATTTTTAGTATATTTCCAGTAATATAATTGATATTAATCTCGCAAATAATTACCTACTCCTGATATTTAATTATAAATATTGTGTATATTTTGTGTGATTGCAATACCAATCTACATAGTATTTACTATACATATATAAAGAGATGTAGAGTAACACTCTACATATAATTATATACCAAGTATTTTAAATGTGATATAAAGAATTTTTCTTCTTAAAATTTTAGATCTATTCAACCAATATGTAACCCTAAATACGTGTTTAGAACATCACGCGGAAAGAGCGAAACCTATTTATATTCAAAATCTGTTATCTGATAGGGTTATAAATAGGTACCGGCCCGCCCGGGTGGTTATAAAAATTGTTTCTTGTATATCAACAAAATATGTAGTTTATATAACTCGTATAATGTTTCAATATAAAATGGTGCATAAGCTCCGGAGTCTTTATCAGTATAAATTTACATTATCCTAATATTGGTATGTCTATCTGTCAGTAAGAAAAGTCGTGAATGAAGAGTCGGACCTGCCCGAAGTGGATCAGAATACAAACAAGACGCTACGACAGCGACAGGCGGCTGCTGCCGCCGCTGCTAAGGCCAAGTGAGGGAGGGCGCACATTCAGCTACATTAATTTGACTCTAAGCTAATCATGTTAGGTTGTTTTCATCTCATATCTCACTGAGACTTTCCACTATTAAATCTTATTTTCTTCCTCGAGTCTTACCATCAATGATTGTTGAAGCACAAAATGCGTTGACAGACTGTTGGCTGGCATTTATCTGTAATTTAAATTGTATATACACAGTTATATTGTGTTATGTCACAATAAAACTTAAGGATGAAACTGGAAACTATGTCATAGTTTTTTGTTTGTAGTAGCCTAAAATGATGAAAAGAAGCTTGTGAACAAAATTATGGTGTAGAAATTTTTATAATATTTACAACTTAAAACATGGTTTTATAATGATAAATCAACATTGATTCAGACTGCGAAACATGCTATCGTCATTAAACGTTATAGTGGATACAGGGTTGTAAAATATCTCCTAAAGTGTAAAAATAACAAGGACTCTAGGTTTAATAAAGAAAATGTTGTTTATATGAATATATTGAATAAGAATTATGAAATACTGTGTGTTCATACACATTAAACGATGAAAATTCCATTTTGTGTTTGCATTTTAAGTTTTGAATAAATATTTATTGTATGAATTCCAGTACAGATTTATTTTTATAGATTATTTGTGGAAATTTCTATATTTTTACTTAACTGTTTTTTTATATATAATTTCAACTAATTTAAAAATTATTTGGTGCTCATTGAGTAATATATTTTTTACTGAATGTTTTAAATAACTTTAACCTATGTCAGAGATTATTATACTTCATAACAGTCTTTGCTATATCATTAAAGCAGAGAATTTATTAAATTTTATTTAAGATACATTATGAGATTGAATACCTACAATGTTGTTGTATAATGTGAAACAAACAATGCATAATGACATTATTCTTCCTACTGTGAATTCTGCTCATAAATTATTATATAATTTTCATGGAGATTGTCAATTGTAAAAGCTTGATGTTATTATTTCTAAATAAATTTTGTAAGTCCAAATTTTGGGTTTATTATTCTTATCAATATTATCTATTGTTATCTTTACTATAAGAAAATTAGATATTTAAATTTTGCAAATATTTAATGTATAAAATATTCTCAAATTACGGCATTGATCATATCATAAAAATTGGACGATAGTGATTTTCTTTAATTGCGGACAAGGTCCATCTTTATTATTAAGCAATAACATTAATAATAAAGATGGAATTAAATTTTTGTTGTCTACATCTTGCTAATATTAATACAGTGGACCCCCGGTTATCCGACAATCGTTTTGCAGGGCAGTGTCGAACAATCGAATTTATAGAGGGGGCCTAAGGAGTCCCCAATGGTCCGGAATTTTTTACAAAAGAGTATACCTTGTAATCATAATCCTTGGAATAATGTTATATATGCACTCTGAAGTATAAATCTTACTTCATTATATACACATTATATGCTAATAATGAAGATAGCGGTGCAGTGTAGCATGTGACACTACACCGCTATCTTCATCACATGTAAGTAGTCAAATTCAAACTAAGCAATCATAATCAAAACAATAATCTACGCGTCGAGTACAACAGTGGTGATGCGTACAAGTTCAAACTTGTTCAAATTTATCCAAACATACATTATCGAAGATTTTGAAAAAAATAGACCATGTCGGATTACAAGGGGGGGCGGTTTATCGCGGGTCCAATTTAGAACTTTGTGTGTGTGCATGGATGGATGACGGATATTTGTTACTCTTTCACGCATCGAAATGTTGATTTTTTTAATGTTTATGTATTGATCATTGTAAGCTGTTGCAAAACCTAATTTCACATTTTAAAATTTGATGTATGATAATGAAGATTTACGAAAGAGATCTATTGAAGAAGACTGGGTCTAAATATCAGTATAAGTATAATAATAATAATCCTGGTCAATTCTTACAGCGCCATCTATTCCAATGCTAAGTAGAAATTTTGTTATGGTACTAGACAACAACAACTACTAAGCTACAAATACTCAAACACATTATTTTGTAAATACATACATAAAAAACAGACCGTTACACAATCATGTGTACTTATGAATACAAATGTTGGCACCATGCGAAGAATTGAACTTGTGACCATCGGAAGCTTGTTATTACGAGCCCAAAATGTTTAACAAAAAACCCATATGTGTGCGGGTTGACGAACGAGCACTGTGGGATTTTTCTGAGTAGAAAGCACCTCGGTATTCTACTGCGTATTATGGCCATGCGGCAATATTGCTAGTCTTCGTCGATCCTGGCCTCGTGGCTCCGTTAAACAAATCCACTCCAATTGGCATATGGGGAATATTTACGCGCACCTACGGGACTTCGGATAGTTCCCACCATGCGCCACCCACGGGAATCCTTTGTCGGAGTTAAGGTACGCCCAGATGTAGTATGCATGATACGATTTGTCTACTTTTGGTACGCCACGCTTGTGACGGTTGGTTGAATACCGTTTTCGTAAGGATTCGTGGTAAATTAATTACTACAATAAGGATTTTATTTTAACATGTTATCTACTGCTTATTAGGTATAGTTGTACAAAATGTAGGTCATTAAAAGCAATTATACAGGGCTACAATTTTGGCTCGCAGGCCACAAGTTCAAGTGAGGGAGTTTGTTCGGAGAAAATTAGAGCATATACTGTATATTGGAGTATTATACGTATTATCAAACTATAATTACAATTAACTGTAAGTACCTATTATCTACCTAAACCGAGCTTAATAATCTATAAATGATGTTTTATACACATAGGTATATCTATTATAACAAAATTTATATATTTTTTAATATTTATTTTGACCGTGGTTTCGTTTTTGGCACCACCCAAAAACCGTTACATATAATATAAAGTATGTACAAGCTTTCGCATAGATGTAGCTGTATGGACCGCCATGAGATCGCTCGTGTTAAGTTGCATAAATAGCCGAGTACGTACGATCGGAAACCAGTTCCAGAGTAGCATTCGTGAAAGCTTGTTGTCAACATGCAGAGCGCCACATTCGTACTGCTCCTGGCCGTCGTGACCATGGCTGTGGCAGGTTAGTGCCCCTTGGTTTTTACTATGGTCTCTGTCGAGTCGCATTCCTGAGACTTTATATTTTTAGCAATTCCTCATCAAGTCTTATTTTCGTGGACAAGTATATAATTGATTGGGCACGGTCTGTGGATGTGTCATTCTGTTTTTGTGAACAGAACCGGAGGGGTTATTTAAAAATATTCATGTTTTTTTTTATTACGATGTAGGCACATTACACGGATAATTTAAAAAAAACTAATAATATCGTAACAAAATTACTATAGGATTAAATACTCATTTTAAAAACAATCGTCAATATGTCTATATCGTGTGCCATATAAACAAAACAAAATATTTATAAATATTATTAACCTTTTGAAGTTGGTTAAATAAGGAATTTAGTCACTTGCACAGTGAATTGGTCCATTGACTGACCACCTATCGTCCGTGGTAATAAACGGTATTATCCACTGATGCTATGTTAACAATTAGGCAAATGACATCATAGTGTAGTTAATTTTAATCGCTGAAAATGCCGATCCACTTATTTCTGCCTATGTTACCGACACTGAGATACTTGGAAGAGGTCTCTGTCAGAGGTAAATTCAGCCTCACAACCTGCCTTACATTAACAATTTCTAAGATATGTTTGTTTCTTTTATAGCTTTCTAAGAAGAATAATAGAGAAAGAGAAGAGAAAGAAGAGTAATATTTCTCAGTTGCTCTTCAAGTAATCTTTAATCTAGTTAATGTAGGTATACGTTACGCAGGACACCAGTGACAAATCATTATTTGAGTACTTAAGTCATGGCAAATTTCGGAATTAATGATGCACTTATAGGGGTATATAGCCTGAAATAGAAATAATAATACAGTACCTCTTAGCGATAGAATATTTGTTAGATAACTGCATTAATAACATGTCAAATATCCTAGGTCGATTATATTATGTATAATGCCCAATTGTTAGTAAGACCACCATAACATGTAAGACACTACCAAGACAAAGCAACGACCTTGTCGCGTGTTCGATTAAGTGTTATTAATGTTAAAATTCTCTAAATTACAGATGATTTTGAATAGGTAAATTTGCGATGATCACGATACTGACGTCATTTTTAATAGTATTGATATCTATAGACATACATATATACCTTCGCTATCGTGATTATGATGATCTCAGATCTTTTTGCTGACTAAACCTTCTTCGTAAATCGTGCAAGTTTTTTTCCATAAGTAGGTATACGTGAATTACTTAAAGCATACATGTTACCTTCATGTTTACATGCCTATGTTACTTTAATATTTTATTATTTCTTTACCATTATTAATAGAAAAACTTCTTTTAAAGTTCTGTAAGTAGTTACTTATCATACTTTGATGACGGTTTGAGTGACGATATGTTCAGGATATCCCATATTGTATGAAGAATAAAATTAAAGGCATGTAGTTTTGGTGTGCATATAATCATATAAAATTAATTCTTTCTTTAATAGCGAGTCGAAACCCTACAAATTTAACTCATCTTAAAAATATACCTAAGTATATGATAACACAAGGAAACTGATAGATTAGTTAGCTATATATACAGCTTTAATAAGAACTTTCAGTCAATAACTGATATGGATATAAAATTAATTTATATAAGAATAACAAGACAAGCCAATCAAGGAGTGACCGTATTGATAATACAAATGTAAATTTGTATCCAGAGTAGACTTTGTTAAAAGTAATCTGCGGCTATCTCAAAGGTTTCAGGGGCTAAACTGCTAACTTTGTAAGCTGTGCTTTGGTAGTAGGGACGGTATGTAGTCACATCGTAGTCCTCTGGAATGACAACTCATGAATGGTATCACAATGTCAATGTGTCATGAATGTCACATGATAACGTGATTTTCGTATTGCTGTTCTTGTATTTAAATGATATAACTTGTTTGATTAAAAGAATTCATACAATATTGTAATATTATTTTAATTACAACTTTCAGTTCTATGTTCCTTGTATTTAAATAGAAGGACATTATACGACGCTCTCTCAGACTGCGCATGGCGGCGCTGATTCCAACGCCAATGCTAATGCTGAAGCAAAATCTGATTCACGTAAGTTTTTATAAACACTTTTTTATGTATCTTTCATAGATTCTTCGATGGATCACATTCAAACGGGTATCGACGGATTTAGCCTAGAGTCACGTGGGGCAAGTGTACGCACTTAAGGTTTGAAGTATCATATAATAAAATATTTGAAGTTAACTGGAACAAAACAAGGTTTATTATATAAAATATTTAATAATCAACAACTTAAACGCAAAATAAATAATTATCATTTACACAAATTCTTTGGAAATCAACAAAATCAAAACTGTTTAAAGCGCACACTTAATATAGGGGTAAGTGTGCGCATTTTAATTACAACATGTAACATATAGTAAATAGAGTCAGACTCATACGACAAACCAGAAAATAGACATCAACCTAATAATACATCAGTTCATGTCCTTTTCAAAGTTATTGCATTGTTCATGCCACCAGCTCCTACAGATGCTGTATTGGATCCAGTTTTCATTCGGTATATACTACACACAGTGACGCATCATTTTATTTATTTTCAGATCAAGTCGTATCTTCTTTTTTGGCAATTTATTCTTCCTCTTGTTTTTTCTTTTTTCCAATTCTACTTTATAAGGACTTACAGTATCAATGATTGACTTTTTGCCTTTCTTTCGCCGATTTTGAATCACAGTCATCCCTCCAAGAAATGCCTAAGGCCAACTTCGGCATTTCTTGGATGGATGACAGTTGTACATATTCATTCCTAGACGAAGGTACACTCATTATTGCGGGTGCCACACTGTCGTTTGCTGCTAACCTCCGAAATTAATCTTTTAACAGCTTCTAGCTGTTCCTCTGTGACAACACTTCTATTTTATAATCGAGGCATTTTTTATGTATAATTAAACTCTGAAATAACAAATTGCATCATAAATACAAAGCCAAAGCTAATGCATTCGTAACACTTGCCCCAATACATCAAAATAAAATTAACCAGAACTGAGCAATATTATGTAATCGTCATCACCAAAAGATTAAACACAGCTTATATTACATAAAATGTACTGTTCAATGGTATAAAGCATAATTTCAAAATATAAATATATTACAAAGGAATGAGTCTCTCATTTAAGACAAAAATCGCAATAATTCAAGCAAAAACAATACTCACTTACGACAAAATGGTTCAACAGTGAAAAAGTTGCACTAAGTATAGCCTTTTGTGCGCTAATGAGGAGGGTTATCGACCTATAAACCGTTTTTGAAATACTTCGAGTGCGTACACTTACTCGCTGCGCACACTTACCCCACGTGACTCTATATTCCTTATCTCCGCTCCTTTCTCAAGTCCTTTTGCGGAGTTGATACTGCGTACTATCTTATAATATACAACACTTAGTTATTATGATATATACAGAATGAAGGTCAATGTAATCAAATCCTTAGGAGTAAATAGTTAACCAATTTCAATGGTTATATTAATTTGATTACGGAAGTCCGTTATTCATGCCTTTGCCTCTTTGCAATAGTCACGAATTCTCTTATTACTTTTAATTAATTATGATTAATACTAACATTATATCAGCTGAAGATTTTGTTCGAACACATATAAGTATATAAAGTATAGGTAAGTATAAAAAAGTAAGACGAAATCATAAGTGTGAGTAGATAATGATAAACGTATTGGTTTTCATATTTATTTAACGACATGTATTTAGTAATAATGAGATATAATTGTATATAAACCTAATTAAAATGGACTATTAATATATACATAAGGTATTATTATCAGTAGTAATAATACTGTGAAGTTCGATAATAATAATAATTCAATTTAAAATTCACCACATCGATATAAAAACTCTTGTTTAATTCAATATGTTATGAGGAATTACATGTAAAACAAGCGTAAAGTTTTCTAGTCAGAAATTACTCAAATTTGTCTATTTAAAAAGAATATACATATATGCGACCTGTGTCCCATCTATGGTATGCGATAACTTTGTACACCGTAGAATAATGCATGTGGAGCAGTGTAAGTGTGTAAGTAATGTAAGCAAGCACTTAATGAACATTGTGGTCACGTTCGAAGAGGCGAGTGTTCGCACAGCCGCCGCCGGCGGTGCCGCTCCGTTCATCTAACGGTTCCTATCTCACTGGCACCAGTTAACTAAGTTTACACACAGTCAATAAAAAAATATTGATCTATTTGTGGCCACTTTCTCAGCCTCATATCAGACTGATCGAAATGTATTACACATACCGTTAATCTACAAGCGATCTACATAAAATGTTTGCTATCTAATTAACAATTTGAATGCCTGTCAAATTTTTAATTAAAGTTTGTAGATATATTATTCTATCTTATAATGCAAGTATATATTTATGGCTATACAGACATATGATAAATGTCGTTTATTAACTTTTCACGGCTGAATGTTTAACGTGAAGATAGAAGGACGAATGTAGGCTACAACACAGATACAGACACATAGGTATCTACATACATTCCGTCTGTTGTTCCTCCGTGGACTGTTATTCCCTAGTAGGTAAATGCATTGTAAACTGTTCGAACTCGTGGCGAGCGTAACACTTAAACATTCCCACATATTTCTGAATATATTTTTAATATCTATCTATTTAGAACACCTCTTGTCAAAAAAGACATTTCTGGTAATGACCACATTTCGCTTAGAGTCTAGTACTCTGATGATATATTAGAATATTAACGTAGTTACGTAACCTACGGTACATCCCGATAGGCTACAATCTTCCATTCCTTCTCCTCGTACATGGCGCGATTATCGTAATTTAAACTAATAATTTTTAATTTTTTTTTAATACTTCAGGAGGTGATAATGTGAACACGAATGCAAATGCCCGTACCAGTTCAGGTTCCGGTGGATGGGGACTACCGTCATTGAGCATGTTTTCGGGATCGAATCCAAACATATTAAGGTATTCTATTTCTAAATATATCTAATAATAAAAAAAAATATATAGATAATCTTCTGAAAATAGGTACGAATGTTTTCAAAATTAAATTTCATAATTTTATATAATGAAATATTGAATCATATTTAAAAAGGTTTCTCCTTTATCTAAAATTATTAATTAGATCTCATTTCACTCATATTATAATATACATACTCTTAAGTAATTGCATATATTTGTGACTTTAGATGTTAGGTTATATAAATCTATGAGAGACTGTACATAGGCAACCATACAATATATGAAATACTTATTGTGTAATTTCACTATCTTGTTAGAGCAGTGTTACTAGGAGTGAATGTTTCAATAACGTACCATTAGTATATTTTGTTAAGCCTGAAGAGGTAAGACGAAAGATAAGACGTCCGTTACAATTTTCTATATAGCTAAACCCGAAAACCGTAGGTTTTTGTTTGTCGGTAAACACTCAGAATGATATTTATTTATGTACTTGAATCAATGTTTATTTCGTCGGTTCAAATTTACAATTTTAATTTCATCTCAAAATCAAACTAGAAATAACATATAATTTCCACTTTCCTTAAAATTTCTAGTTAATCTTCTAATAGGTACGAACAACTTAACAGTAATAATTAACAAAGAATAATCATTTGGACAGAATTTTTCAGAATTGTATTGTCATGTCGTATTAATGCGTTGATGTCTTTTCTATAGATGTGAATTTCTGTAAGAACACTTGACTCTTTGTAGCTTTTTTCTTTACTTTTTAGAGGTCATGTTATCTAAATCCATCTTAATGTTAATCTTTAATATATATAATATTATAAATGTGAAAGTAGGGATGATTGTTATGCTTTCACGCACAAACTACAGAACCGAATTTTGAAATTATGAAAAATAATGAAAATTCATTATGAAATTGTGTACACGTGTTCTTGGAGATATTCGAATGAACATAAGATACTTTTATTAAAAAAAAAACAAATATTTTTGATCAAATATAATGATAATTGTCCTGTAAGTGTGATGCAGTTGCGCGGGCAGCTAATTTTATATATTATGTATAATTTATTTATTGAAATTAGTGTAATATTAATATACCTACCTGGTATTAATATGAGCAACATAACTAACATAAATTTGTTTATTCCACAGGCATTAGTTGCAGCGAGGTATTATTAGACTAACAACGTGGTGTCGGCTCCAACCATCCTGAATTCATTTTCCATCAGTTGCGCGCCTCGCGAGCTCCTGCTTCTGCGCTACACGCCGTGTAACTGCCGGAAGATATAATATTTATTATAATTAATAATTTAGTTCTAATAAACGTGACATACTTGTTAATGAGTCCATTATTTTAAATCAAATATTTATTAATACTGGAAAATAATATATTGCCTAAGTAGCAGAGAAATATCAATAACTATAGATATATCTATACTTACATATATATAAAACAAATTTCCCATCTGCGTCTGTTTCTTTGTTTGTGATAATCTCGAAACCTGATAATGTGATCTCTATACAATTAATATTTATAGGCGAAGGCTACTATTATGTAGGCCGTCAGCTTGTTTGCAATTTCAATAACATCACTTAATATCTTGGCAACACTTTATCAGCATGACAGTTCCGATGGGACCAATTGAACAGTCCCGACTGCTATTATATATTCTAATTCCGCATCTCTTTTCCTTTGGGAACTTCAAAAGTTTCATTGGACTGAAGACTCCCCTCAGTCCTTAAAAAAGTATAAAGAATGATTTCTACTCTCTAGGGATGTTATTTTTATTGAAAATATTTTGAAATTTGAATTTATCAATACTACAGTATTTGTGACCTATAGACCTATCTATTATGCTTGCCCTTTTTATAGTTCGCAAAATTGAAGGATATTCTTAGGAGCGCTGGTTTTTATCTCTTTGGAATAGGGTGTGTACTTTCCAAAGGTGATATTTATTTATGCGTGAGCGGCCTACAACCAGAAAGAATGTGTAGTGACTACTAGTGACGTTTCCTCTTCCATTCTGTAAATTTTTGTTCACACTGGCCTAAATTTATCATGTGTTTATTTAATTTGCAGTAACCAATGATGTATGTATATTTTGTTTTTACTCAATAGAATTAGTCTATTGGAGTATAGATTCGATTTCCCTGTTATTATAGCTTTTAATGTACAATTACTGGCATTTTCAGCCCGTATTTAGTGTGTCCTGCTAATTAATTACTTTGAGAAATTCCATCTTTAGGCATTGAGGCACGCCACAGAAGGGTTCAGGGCCTATGGGGCGGTTTTTGCTCTAGGTTTTGCTTCCAAAATGTTATCAAACAGCGTCGTCATAATGGACCGCCAGGTTGAACCTGATAGTGTGAGCACAGGTTTATTGTAGAATTACTGGATATTCTAGCCTTAATGGTTTTTTGTGAATTGTTTATGATGATTCAGTATTAGGTTGTGGAACAGTAATTTCATTTATCCCGACAGAGGATTTAATTGTTCTTTTTGGAACTCAACTTTACACTTCTGGTGCATAATCATTGTATTTATTGAGAGCTGATATAGCAGGTCTACTGTGAGAAAAATTTCAATTAATTCTACGCAGTTGTACCTATTTGGTTGGAGCCCTATTAAACATGGAGAGCAACAAGCAGCATTTTCGTCATATTTTGCTTTTTTACTATAGAAAACGTAAAAATACTGTTCAAACCAGAAATAAATTAACCGATGTGTATGGAGAAGACGTGTTGACAGTACCCTAGGGCCAGAACTGGTTTGCAAAATCCTGAAATATTGATGTCGAAGATCCCTGATATTTCCTTTTTAAAGGTCGGTACAAGAGGATACAGTTATTAGTTGATGTAAATCAGGTTAAATTTACCGATATCAAATGTTTATGATCACACGAAACAAATAATGTATAGAAAAAATAGTAATATTTCTTCTCTCCAGATATTAACTATTTACCTAATTAGTACCTGAGACCTATGGATACTGTATATAGTTATCTATGGTATTCTAATTCCAATTAATTAGCATGTAAATTAATTCAATTAGTGCTGAATATATTGTATGGAGGTTAGTACTTTATACAATGGTGTAGGTATTAACGTCGTTAAAAAAATACAATAACCAAAGCGTCGAACACTATCTTATAAGGTTCCTTAAATATTTATAACCTTAAACAAAAGATACGTATACATTATTATTTATGGTTTAAGCGACTATGGTATGGACATTTATAATCATTGTGATAATTATGTTAGTAATCAATATAAGTTTAAATTTATCAAATGCTTAACGAAAACAATATAGTGACATATACATATAAATTAATTAATATTACAATGAAACTTCAAGTTTTAATTGTTCTACAATTTTAAATACAAAGCATACAATTGTAATAATATTACTAATTAAAATAGGTATCCAACGAAGAAGTCATGCCGTTGTTCTTGGTACAGACATCTTTGACTTCTGAACTCACGAGGTTATATAAGTTGTTAAATAGATTTTTTCGTTTATATCTGTTTTTTCTATGTAAACATATATTACAAATTAGCAGGTTCAGTAATTATGGATGAATATTTATATTTAAGAAAACTACTTAACATTTTTTATTATGTACATATTAAAATGGCTCTTCGACTACGCCTATGACCAAACGAAATTTATTTTGGTCATGACAATTATATTTGATATGGTTTGTGTACTTTTACTTTTATTGAATAGAAATGGCAAATAAGATCCGGTAGGTCCGTCTGATGCTAAGTACTAACCTTTGCCTATAAATATGAACAGGACTAGGGATATCACGTTGTCATGTGATAGTAGTATCATACATTGCTGTTTTGGTGGTCTAAGATGTCATACTTCTTATTCTGTAATTTATCTGTATTACCTCCTCACCTCAACCGAAATATAGTTTACAACGCATCGTACTTGGCGGCTGAAATATGTAATGTTGAGGTATCTCCACACACAGACAGATTAAAAGTCTACCTCAGTAAAACATAAAAGTTATTAAAATACATACTTACATGCTAAGTATAGCAACTAGGGATGTAAAATATTTATTATATATGTAATAGTGAATTGCTTATTCTGAAGTATCAGCAAGAACCAGTAGAGTGATTTTTATGGGATACTATTAGAGAACAAGTGATATTTTTTTATAGAATAGGGGATAAACGAGCTTTCGGTTCACCTAATGTTACGAGTAAGTGATTACCGCCGCCCATGCGCACCTGCAACACCAGATGATCGGGATGGTGTTTTAGTTTCTGGCTGGTACTGCGCTGATGAAATTCAGCAGCTGATATTAGTCTAAATAGCATTTACCACGGAAAGTGCTCTGAGGAACAGAACACTCTACGAGATATATGCTGTAGAAAATGCACAGAAATGAAATGTCTCGCCGCTAAGCCATTGGGTTGAGACTGTCACAAAGACGTTGATTACCAATGGTTCTGGCTGCTGACTGGTGAATGCGGTCAAATGGAAGCAACTGGTATTGTGGTGCTTCCGTTCAGACATGAGAATAGTATTCCATATGCGGTCGGATCTGAACCTTGTAAACAAGGGGCCACCTTAAAATACCGCGTCATACTGAGCACACTTAATTTTTTGGAGGCTACTTTAGTGACCGCAAACGTGAACGCCATCAGGGGCGTTCATGTTTATATCAACGCTTAAAATCTCGAGTACAATAACAATTATAATTAATAAATAAATTAAGACAATATTAATAAATCTGATTAATGTTTGCTTAGAAAACTTGCTGTATGTACTTATTTTATTAATTAAGATAAATAGCGATATATAAGTTAATCTGAAATTTGATTTAAATGCAGTACATTATTTAAATTATTAACCGGGTCTTAACACGAATAATTTTATGGCAAATAAAGGTATTTAAGAAAAATGGTTACATAAAGAGTAGAAGGCAAAATAAGCGCGTAACAAAAGCTAAAAAACCGGAAGTGAACAGACAGCCAGCGTACATGACTTACTTAAGAGGAATAACGGACAAAATTGGAACAGCACTAAATAAATACTCCATTAAGACTGTATATTATCCGCCCTCAAAAGTAACGAACAATTTACGTTCACCAAAGGATAAGCTACCTTACGAAGCTCCAGGTGTCTACAAAATTGACTGTAGTTGTGGTAGCTCTTATATTGGCCAAACAAAACGATCAATAGCCGAGAGAGTCAAAGAGCATATCGCAGCGGTTAAAAATCGACAACCACACAAATCAGCGATTGCCGATCATCTACTGAACGCAGGAACAAATCACTGGATTGAACTACATGCGCCTAAGGTCCTCTCTACTGATCGCCACTATTACCCACGAATGGTCCGGGAGGCGATTGAAATTAAAAAATATCCCAATTTCAACAGAGAGGATGACTTAAAATTATCATCTGCGTGGAATCCAGTCATAAATAAATTCAAGCAAAGTTCAGTAGCATCAATAGTCAATAAGTGTACGGATACCGTGAGTGCTGTGTGTCGCGAACTTTCGTTAAACAATCTAGTGACGGTAGATGAAGAAAAAACTGCTGTCACCTATCTACATTGACATCGCTGTTACTCCAGTCAGCTCGTGACCACGGCTAGTGCAACCTAGTCGAAACGTCGAGAGAGGTAAATACCTTTATTTGCCATAAAATTATTCGTGTTAAGACCCGGTTAATAATTTAAATAATGTATATTAAACACGAAAGTTTAAAATTAAATGCAGTACGTCCATCCCAGCATGTAAGTAAAAATTTTGAACTCTAAGTTTTCGCATTTTCACATTTGGTTTTATAAAACACTGGCACTTATCTGCGATATGTAATATTATGTTATTTGTGCCTGCGACTTAATCTGCACAATATTTCATATCATATTTCAACTCTTCTTTGGTGTTTTATACACATAAAAGATATCGTATGACTGTCCTCATAGTACAGTTGATCTTCATAACAAATTTCATTGAAATCCATTGAGCCCTTTTGGTCGTGGAAAGGCAACAAACGGAAAGAGAGATAAACACATTCACATTTATATATTAAGTATGGATGTTTTAACAAAAGAAACATGGTTTAATTGTAAGAAAACTATTTCATATTTATTTATAAAGGCATCATATCAAGTTACACAGCCATAATCATTCATCATTATTCTGATATATAGGCAAAAATTAAATAATTCTGTCTTCGTCAAATGGCTACGGAACCTTAAAACTTTTTATGATTTCCCATACATATTTGTACACTGTTTGTTCGTAGAGACGGAAATATGTACTTTTTCTAATTACCGGAACGGTCTCGTTTGTAGATTACCTTTTTTCGTAAATGTACCCTTTCCACTATTTATATTTTTTTAATTAATCCCTTCAGATTTTAACTTCCTATATATTACTTGTGTGTGCGACTTTTAGACGCGTCTGTACGTAAATTAACGCAGACTAACAATATATGGAAATGCACGTAACAAAAAAAAAACACGTGTACAACAATATCTAATAGAGGCGACGTATTGCAAAATATAGACAAAAATAATTAATTAATCTCTTTACAGCATATATATTGAAACATATTTGACAACAAATTCTGTGAAAAAGTCATCCTAATTCCTAAGCCGTTTTTGCGTGAACCCTTTAGGTACATAGAAACAGATATTTTTAACCTCGTCACGATTTTACAATTTCATTACACATTTAAAAAATATAATAGTTGACAAAACACAGTACATATATGACATACCTACCTATGTACCACCTGATGGTTAATCTGCTTTTTGCTAAATTCATTATACAATCTGTTGTTTTCCTTGCAGTTTTGGTCAGACACGTCGGCAGTCTGGACCGGTCTATGGCGCGAGGTCAATCAGCCCCAACTCCTCTGTTGGTCTTGATTCCTAGGTTGTTATTACAACCAGTAAGCATCTGTTAACTAAATGAGTCAATTAATACATATCATCTCATTACCCATTTTGGCACCACAATATATCGTAATTATAGGTATCATAATTATTGTTTTTTTTAACCACATAGTTTATACTTATGAAATAATAATATATGGTGTGTAAATGGATGCCTACCTACAATCTGTTATATGTTTTCCTTGCAGTTTTAAAATATAGGTCAGACACGCAAATTAAATTTCTTTCCAAAAGTTGCATATCTTTTATTATAATTAGGACCGGTCTAAATAAACCTTAAATAATTAAAAAATAATGTGACGAAAATATGGTATCTTATATTTCATAATAGTGTTATTATAATGTATGAATGAAAAACACTTTATTGTTCCAACTCCTCTGTTGGTCTTGATTCCAAAATAATTATAATATAGGTTGTTATTAAATAGCAACCAGTAAGCATCTGTTAACTAAATGAGTCAATTAATACATATACATCTCATTACCCATTATATATAAAATATACACACACATATATATACATAATATATACATATCATAATTATTGTTTTTTTTAACCACATAGTTTATACTTATGAAATAATAATATATGGTGTGTAAATGGATGCCTACCTTCCTGATTATGTACATGTGATTAAGATTTATTGTCTGACATTATATGAATAATTTACGCTTGTTATTTATTTACCAAGGTGTTATAAAATATAGGTACACAATTTACATTGCAAATTAAATTTCTTTCCAAAAGTTGACATATTAATTTTATTATAATTAGATAGCTACAATTTGATAAGCTAAATAAACCTTAAATAATTAAAAAATAATGTGACGAAAATATGGTATCTTATATTTCATAATAGTGTTATTATACTAATTGTTTATCTAATTATAAATTATTTGTACAATTCTAAATAAATCTGAATATCACAAATAAAATGTATCATCAATGCGGATTTGCTGCATTTGTAAACCATTCAACTACTTTTTAAGAGAGCGTAGCAATTCCTGAGGATAAAAATCTACATTAAACTACTGACGATAGTGACTTTTTCCAATATATATCGTCAGTTTCAACGAGAGCAGTTGTTGTACTGTGACCAGGTCGGAAACCAGACTGAAGAGGATTTATTAGGTTGTTTTTGTTAAGGAACGAGGTGAATTTTGTGAATCAAGGTTCAAGGACTTTGGAAAAAATTAGAATACAGATGGGACGGAAATCTGGTTGGCCTTTTTTGTTATTTGCCTTCTTTCCAGATTTTAGGATAAACACTAGTTATTACGGAGTGATTAAGGATATGGCAAATAATTGATAGGATCTGATCGAGGATAGGAAGAATCATATTGCGACTGATACAGTCGCAATATGATTCTTCCTATACTAATTGTTTATCTAATTATAAATTATTTGTACAATTCTTTTGAATCTTCTTTGTATACCTTTTTAATGAGGTGTGTGATATATGAACAAAACCACACAGTTCTTCGCACTTTACAAGGCCTCGGAAAATATTAAGGTATACTACTGGTTCCTTTGTAGCCTGTTAAGGGTGGGAGCCACTTTCATCCGGATGTTAATTATTAATTATGTAATTAATCCGTAATGAAATTGTAATTAAGGAAGCTATATCACTTTAATATGAATTTATACCATTAGGTTAGGTACCCATTTTCAGTATTATATATGTTAATAGTGTAACATACTATTTACAAACTATATAATTAATGATGAATGAAAGATAAAGTTTGTAGAAGTATTTAATTTGTACCTTACATATACCTTATATGTGACTTACATATAATTAATAGATTCATTGGCAGGATGGAGAAGAGCGCAACAAAAGACATAACTTATTATTGTGTTTTTTATTATAATTAAATTATAATTAATATTGACAATAAATAATTTTGTTAATAATACAAAATTTGTAAGTAAGGTACTTTGAGAGAGCCATTATAGGGGTATAAAGTGTACAAAAGTGTACAAAAGATATTTTAAGTTAAATATTATACTACAACCCGTAATTTAAATCCATATATCAAGAAGGAACTGATCATTGTTAAAAAAGAACTGGAAAATTATCATTTATTTATAGAAAAATGTACAAAACCATTAATTCAAGTCAAAACAATTGTTAACTTAGGTACTTTTACATTGCGGTTTCTTATAAATAATTTTATGTGAAACAAAGAAAATTACCCTTGAATTTTGTCTATTGTTTTACTACTACATAGAAATCAGTTTCATCTGACACCATTTGGTTGTTGCAAGTCTACAGCAGACAGTTCGCATAAAAAATAACGATGCATTGTGCATGCGATACAAACTATTATCTGCACTTTTTTACATCTCGTATTCCAAATACGTATATCGGTAGTGATGGGAATAGTCAATAAACATGTCAGTATTGATAAATAAGTATAGATCCTCCGTAAAATATTTATAAACTACTATATATATAGCAGGTTTAGTTTACTTGTGGGGTAATTCAAGTCTGTACTGCGGCTTGTTGTATTGGTATCCCTGGTCCGGTTGCGGCAAGGGTGCTGGTGCAGGAACTGGTATAGGTGCGGGGACTGGTACTGGTGCCGGTTGTGGTGCTATTGGTACGTGAGGTGGAGTCACTATTACAGCGTCATCAGTCAAAGCAACGTCGCGATTAAACGGAACGAAATTCTGACCAATTTGTGCAGGGAACTGTCGGGCAAACTGCTGCGCTTGGTAATACTGAGGCTCAAACCTAGTGGGTACACCATATTGAGCAGACAAATCGTTGTATTGACTGAAACCTCCTTGTGGTGGTAATTCCATGCGACCAAACATGTTTCCTAAAAATGGAAATTTATTTGTTATCATCGCCCATAATCCTGTACCGCCAACTTGATTACTACCCTGTCCACCAAAAAATAGGCGTTGCGATGGCTCAGGCACAAAGTTGCGATTGACATCTGTTACGTAGGGGTCATTTGGTCCAATGTTATAGGGAGCTACTCTCTGTGTCTGCGTGTAGTAGCTTACAGTACTACCTGAAAGGTAAATTAATTATATTGTTATGTATTACTGAACTTTATTACTTTTTGTGTTTTTATTAATTATTATTAAGTTCTAATGTTTAATATTTTTTAACTCAGCAAATTTCATTATATTAAAAATAGTTTTAAAACAAAAATACATATAAGTATATTTAATTGTAAGCATAATTAAAAATAAGTTGAAACATTATATAAATAAAAAAACTAATTAATGATCATTTAATTTTTCCAATAAAATAAATATTATCACTGCACATACCCACAACACTGCACAAAACTAAAATGGCGAACGCATTCATTTTCATGCGAACTACTGAACCTCAACTGTGTGCCATTGTTGCTCGTCTTCGCATTTATACCACCTCTATTTACTCCCAAAAGAGGACCTTGAAGTAAAATTCTCGTAACCCAATATTGAAAGTGTGAGGTAATGTGAAGTAGGGGCTCACCCAGCGGCCGGCCGCATGTGGACAATAGGCGCGACAACTAGGTGATTCGTGCTACATCAGCCGCTAAATGCACGAACAGGGTGTTTCAAATTTGCATACTATATGCAGGACGACGTCTACTAAGTAATGGCATCCTATTCATTTGCTCAATGTGACAATGGTAGTCGAATAGCCGAATTAGCATTTATATATTTAGATAGGTATGCAATACAAGGATAATTTCACACTTTGTTTTTGTGTGTCAAAATAATAAATATACTATTTTAAAAGAAATAAATAAAAATTGTTATTTAAACAATACAAGTTTAAAATGATAATCTATGATTGCTGGCTGAAGAAAGATTACCTACCTAAACAGCTATATAATATACTTTTGCATACATTTTACTAAAATAAATGTATTTCGACTCATATACTTATAACAGAAACGACTCCAACATTTTACAGCCTCCGTACATCATAAAAATTCTATCGTATATATATATATTCTATTTTTTTAAATGTATTACAATGGAATGGTGCACCAATAGTTTACGCTAGCTTAGAGCATCAGTGGAGAATGATGGGATTGACACAGGCCAGGGCAATTAGCCCATCGCGACAAATTCACCAGGATTTTATCATTGTAGTTTCCAGGTGAACCCTGGTGAACGTCAATCTGACATTGTACATTGCTAACAATATGGTCAGCTATCCACATTACTAACAATTCCCTACGAGGTTAGTTCCGTTAGCCCATCGTGACAAATTCACCAGCAATTTATCACAATTGATTCCAGAGAGACCCGCGTGGAGATCAACCTGACATGGTCATTGCAAGCAATAAGGTCATCAAGTCAATTTATTAAAAATCCCTTTTTTCTATTGTATATATTAGTAGGTAGTACCTACTGAAAAATTAATTGTTGTAATATCTACGTGCATTTTCATACATAGATACTTACGTTGATGAAAATCTAACAGGTTAAATTATTGGTATAGGACATAAAAAGTAAAATGTAACCATTTAATTTCGCAAATGTAGAAATCGAAACGTTTTGCAATTACCCCAACAACCGTTCCATAATTTGTCGATAGTAAACAAATGGAACATGCTAAATACTAACAAAATTCACACACGCTGTGAATGATAAAATTTTGTGAAAAATGCATTGAACGCGTACGTGTATGTTTACCTAACATAATCGGCATTATTCATAAGATAACAAGTGTTTGTCTTTCGACGCGGTTTGTCACAGTGTCACGGTATTGTCGCCGAACTCAGGAGCGTTTTGCGAAACGTTACCCAACTATGCGTAGAGTTGTGAGCTTTATAGTATCTACTTTATATGATACTCACGGAATCTATTCTTTTGAACAAAATAGATAAGAACCCAAAAATAACCAATTTCTAAATTAGTATCAGACAGAAGAATAGTAATATCGTAATATTTGACGGTCTCGGTGGTGTAGCGGTCTAGCACACGACTTGACGTCGGATGGTCGCGGGTTCGATTCCTCGCACGGCACAAACATTTGTATTCATGAGTATGATTGTTTTTATCGGTCTGGTTGTTTTCTATGTATAATATTTATGTATTTACGAAAAAAATATATGTATTTGTATCAGTTGTCTAGAACCCATAACACAAGCTTTAGCTAGCTTAATTTGGATCTAGATGGCGCTGTGTGAATTGTCCTGAAATTATTATAATTAATATTGTGAGATTTTTTTATACTGAAGAGGGCTAGAACATATTTTCTGGCTCTTACATGAATGATCTACATTATATAATATGACCTATCCAATAAACAAATTAATTAAATATGGCTATGTATTCAATTTATATGCGATATAAGTGGGAGCGACAAGTACCAACGAAATCTCTTTGCAATCTTCTATAAAATCTAGGTCTGTCCAGTACTGCAGTAAGTTCTATACAAAAAAGTGTGTCTAAAGGTGCAATAGCAGACGTCTACCAGATTTGGCTAGACAGCGTGAGAAACAAAAGGCGGTGAATGTGAGTACATGACATACGTTGGCAAGACCCTTAAACCTACATCCGGGTCATAAGTCAATAATTCGGGTATATCTACTAGGAAAGAAAAATAGTGCTGCTAAACACTATTTAAAATTACTATCACTGTTAACAATCAGTAAATTCTTAAAATTGGGCGAGCACGGTAGTGATATATCTGAAAATGACAGACATAGGTTTGGAAACAAAAAAAGGACATAAAACCATACCACGATATTACTGGTTTCCTAAGTATTGAAATTTGTAGATTGTCGTAAAATACCAACATTTCTCAAGTATAAATTTTAAACCTTGTTTTATATTAATCGCTGTACCACCACAAATTCTGAAGTTCTAGAGCATGCCATTTTTATGAGTAGAAACATATTTACACAATAAAAGGAGTCTACTAGTTATGGCCAGTATCTATTAGCCTGAGTAATTGTAAGAAGATTATATTTATCGTCTATTATAATGACAAAGAGTACTGCGGAAATAAATTAAAGATAATTGGTATAAATACGTTGAGAAAATACCTACTGAGTAATTTCTTACTATATAAACTTAATAAGGTGAGTAATCTAGATACTATCAAAGTCTCACTAAGTTCAAAGAATTCTAATCTACCTTCTAAAGACAACACAAGAATATCAGGTTAAAATAAGCACATTATATTGTGTTTTTCTACTAAATGCTAAAATCTGTACTGGGGCTTTGAAAGATTATACTCATTGAGCGTTTATATAATTTTCCATATCAGTACGGCACGACTTTATCCTCACTAAAAGCACCTATTTTACTCACTATAATAATTTTGTTTACATTACACGGCAATATCACGAATGTAGGTACAATTATAAGAGTGCATTCACTTGGATGAATTTTTAGGAATAAGTACGTTCAATCGTTTATGAAATTAACCCTACTGTGCCTGCCCGCTCATAAAGCATTTCTTTATTCTGAACAGTTAGATGTATAGATATTTCAGCGCCTCTAACAATTTTTGAAAAGTGAAAAATTCCGTTTAAGTTCCATTTGTTCTTAAGTAAAAAAAAACGAATGAAATGCATTACGATTTGATTATTTCGTCAACATATCATCAGATATTTCTTAAATGAGTACCAAATATTTACTTACTTGCGAAACCCAACCAAACTTAGATTAAATGGCCTTTTCTTGATAAAGTTTGATTATATACATACATAAATTACAATAATGCTATTAGCTATATCACAGATAACTATGTATGGCTATATCCAATCTTTTTTTTTTATGAGTCTGAAAAATGGTGAGGGTTTGTACTCAATTATTATAGTGAAGAAAACTAGTAGTAAAAATACTGCAAAATGGTTAAACCGTAATATAATTAAGAGAGAAATTGTTACAAATAGACAATATCCCGTTATTTTCACATATAACAGCGCCACAATTCACATAGCGCCAACTAGACCCAAGTTAAGCTAGCTGAAGCTTGTGTTATGGGTACTAGATAACTGATGCATATACATAGATTTTTTTTGTAAATACATTTATATTATACACAGAAAATACAAACAATTATACTTCATGAATACAAATGTTTGTGCCGTGCGAGGAATCGAATCCGCGACCATCGGTCGTAAAGCGGTGTGCAAGACCACTTGACCACCGAGGTCATCGCTAAAAAAACTACATAATTATCGATTTTTTTATCGAGAATATAAAAATGTCAAGTATAGAATATAGCATTACCTATTATCAAACTTAATAATGATTTATTATATATATAACATTTGATTGTGCTAGGATACCGAAAACATGCTTTTAAACTTCGGCTACTCAAAGGTTTGCATTGCCTATCAACTTATCATCTATCAACTTATTGCCCTGATACAAACAAAGACTATTATGATTGTAGATTATATATTTATAGTAGTATTAAAGTCACATACTTGGGTATCTCTGGCTCACCTATATTCTGTAGCCATGTCATGCTTGCGTGTTGTATTCCGGTTTCTAGAGTGATATGTGACAGAGAAATTATTGTGTACAGCGACTTGAGGTATTTATGTCACAAGGATCGGCTATGAACATGTGATATTTTTGGTGTTGCAAAAGTTCATGAGCAGCGAGTGGCTGTTTACTAACAGATGACCAGAATGCTCCATTATTATTTGTACTTCCTTTATACAATATAAAAATGTAACGCATTTAGAATTCGGAAAGGGAGTTCAGATGTACCTACAATCCTTGCTAGAGTCTTCAAAATAAACTAATAGTAAGATATACTCATTGAAATTACACAAAATCTGGCTACTAGAATGTTTATTTAAGATTCCAAATGTATTCAACATCTAATAAGACTTAGCCAAAGCCTTATGCACTGTCCCAGTCTTGCGATAAGTATATTGCAAGACTGGGACTAGTAAGATATAACACTATTGACTAAAAGTAGTAAATTCTCTCCAAAGTTGATGAATCGGTACCAGCGCGTTTACATAATATTATAAATAGCAAATAAATATCTATATGTATAAAAAATTACAGTATTTTTCCTCTTAATTTTATCTCTTGATCTGACAAAACACAATAATAAGTTTGAAATTGATTAGTAATAGGGAAAGTAGTCAACTTGGGTCAAGCCTCATGTCACAGCAACAAACAACTTGAGACTCGAAGTTCGTGTTGACATAGATTGAGCTTCTGTTTTATGATAATTTTGTGATTGTGATTAATTATAGTAAACGGCAAAGGTTACAATTGTATAACAACCCAGAAATATCTGAAAAATTCTATAAATGTGCGTCGTACGCAATAGATTGGTTCGGTCAAGGAAAATGCAACGCACATCTATAATTAACTGTGCTTTATGTCAACAAACTGCAAAAATCCAGCTACTCGTGGAAAAAATCATCTGCAACATGCAGCACTAATATGTTTCACGATATTTTCAGTAATTCAGTATCGATATAGATTTTTTATTATTTCTTCAGTTCAGATGTTAGGTCCGTACTAGTTTTGTCACAATTGAAGTCGAATCTGTTTT